CATTCCCTTAAGCAAAAGCCTAATCCATGGTAAATTCCTGACTCTTTAATTGTACCAATGCTAAGAAAGGTGAAGAAGCTACAGACAAAGAAGTCTGAAACTAGCAGAGGTTGGTTCATGAGGTTTAAGGAAGGAAGCTCTTTTCATAACTTAAAGGTCAAGGTGAAGCAGCAAGTGCTGATGGAGAAGCTGCAACAAGGTATCCACAAGATCTAGCTAAGATCATTGATGAAAGTGGTTACACTAAACAACAGATTTCCAATGTAGATGAAATGGCCTTCTATTGGGACTTTCATGGCTAGAGAGAAGTCAATGGCTAGATTCAAAGCTTCAAAGGACAGGCTGACTCTCTTGTTAGGGGATAATGCAGCTGATGGCTTTAAGTTGAAGCCAAGGACATTTTTACCATTCCCCAAATCCCAGGGCCCTTAAGAATTATGCTAAATCTTCTTTGTCTATGCTCTATCAGTGAAACAACAAAGCCTGGATGATAGCACATCTGTTTGCAGCATGGTTTACTGAATATTTCTATTCAGTTGAGACCTACTACTCAGAAAAAAAGATTCTTTTCAAAATATTACTGCTCATTGACAATGAACGTGGTCATTCAAGAGCTCTGATGGAGATATATGTCATTTTCATATCCATTCTATAGCCATGGATCAAGGAATAATTCCAACTTTCAGGTCTTTTTATTTAAGAAATATATTTCATGAGGCCATAGTTGTCATAGATAGGCCGGGCGCGGTGGCTCATGCCTGTAATCCTAGCACTCTGGGAGGCCGAGGTGGGCAGATTGCTTGAGGTCAGGAGTTCGAAACCAACCTGAGCAAGAGCAAGACCCCGTCTCTACTATAAATAGAAGGAAATTAATTGGCCAACTAATATATATAGAAAAAATTAGCCAGGCATGGTGGCGCATGCCTGTAGTCCCAGGTACTCGGGAGGCTGAGGCAGTAGCATTGCTTGAGCTCAGGAGATTGAGGTTGCTGTGAGCTAGGCTGATGCCACGGCACTCACTCTAGCCTGGGCAACAAAGCGAGACTCTGTCTCAAAAAAAAACAAAACTTAGTTGCTACAGCAGTGGCAGGATTGGAGAAGATTGACTCCAATTTTTCTTTCTTTTTTTTTTTGAGTTTTTTTTTTATTTTGGCATATTATAGGGGTACAGATTTTAAGGTTTCAATAAAAAAAAAATGGAACGCTTCACTAATTTGCATGTCATCCTTGCGCAGGGGCCATGCTAATCTTCTCTGTATCGTTCCAATTTTAGTATATGTGCTGCCGAAGTGAGCACCAATTTTTCTTTTAAATTTACTTTAAGATGGGGTCTTGCTATGTTGCTCAGGTTGGACTCAAACTCCTGAGCTCAAGCAATTCCCCCCTCAGCCTCCTGAGTAGCTGAGATTTAACTCTAACTTTGAAAGACGTGCTACTATGGGTAAAATGCTATCAAATAGCATCATGTGGTACAGAGGCATTGTTTGTGAAAGGAAGAGTCCATTGATGTGGCAAATTTTGTTGTCATATTTTAAGAAATTGCCACAGCCACCCCCCCCCCCAGCAACTGCTATTCTGATTCAGCAGCCATTAGCATCAAAGAAAGACCTTCCACCAGCAGAAAGATTAGGACATGCTGCAGGCTCAGATGATCATTAGCATTTTTTAGGAATAAAATATTTCAAAAACAAAGTCTGTACATTGTTTTTAAACATGTCATTGAATACTTAAACTACAGTATAGCATAAATATAACTTTTAAATGCACTAGGAAACCAAAAAATTTCTGTGACTTGCTCTATCGTGATATTGTCTTGACTGTGGTAGCCTGGAACAAAACCTGCAATATTTCCAAGGTATGCCAGTACTTTATCTAGTGTATTTAGAGATTCACCAATTCCTAAGCATCTTAAGAATTCAGAATTTTGCACTGGGCACTACAGTAGAAAAAGAAAAGATATTTGCTTTGAGTTGGTGATACAGTTGGCCCTCCATATCTGCATTTGTGGATGTGGAATATCTGGATACAGAGGACCAACTTCTTCTATTCACAATTGGTTGAATCTAAGTGACTTATGGTAGGTAGATTTTCATATCTGAGGGGGGCCTGGAACCAATCTCCCAAAGCCCAGGAGGACCTAATATACAAGAATGTCTTTAACAGTACTGGCTTTGGAGTAAGGCAGATCACTGAGTTTGAATCCTAGTTCTGGAGCTGATGTAATCTTGGATGAATTATTTAACTCCTCCATACCTCGGTTTTCTCATTTATAAAAAGGGGATAATAGCAACATCTTATTGGGTCGATAAGTGAATTAAATACACAAATACATGTAAAAGCATTAATTTAGTTTCCAACACATGGAAGGTGATAAACAAAGATAAGTTGTTACTATTATTATTAATTCTTTCTGGCGGGATAGGCCCCATAGGGAAAGAACTTGAAAATATAGATGATAATATACAATGAATATCATGGGAAGAGCTGTATACATTGGAGTGATAAAACAACCATCAAACTAATGCAAAACATGTTTTTATTACTCCCAAACCCTATTGTATAATCTCAGGTGGGTGTCCAGATGATTCCAGGCTGTGAATCTAATCCATAAATTTCTTGGAATTCATCACTTGAGATCCAAATAAAAATAATAGATTGGTCAAAGTCCTAGGCAGAAATGCCAGTTTTTGTGGTGGGCCTGGTTTATACCTAAATGATTACAAATATTCCTTGACAGCTTGTAGTCGGAGGGACTCTTTTGCAAAATTCTAAGGGAAATGTTTTCCAGACAGTCTTACTACTTGCCTTTGGAATAGGCGACCCCCTACATATATTAATTTTAGAGGACTCTGCTTCAGGTTTTATTTTTCCCAGATGTCTAATGTCTAAAACCTTACCAGGTTATTTACTTTACCTTAGTAAACTTTTTTTTCTATCCCCAGTTGAAAGGCAAATATCCCTGGTAGGAGAGAGGGGAGTCAAGGTTCAACACTATGCTGGCCAACCTCTACTCTCCTCCTCACTGTGCACTGTGGCTACTACCTGTATAAACCAACCCTTCAATCTAGACTATCTTGTTTGGTTGGGTCTCTCATTGCTGTATCTAGTCCTTAGTCTTGTTTATAAATTCCTCCAAGGTAGGAATTATTTCGAAAGACTTTGTATAATATTGGTTTGCCTTGACCTTTACTACCTCTTTTATGGTTTGAATGTCCCTTTTAAAACTCATGTTTAAATTTATTTGTTTATTTATATTTCTGCATATTATGGGGGTACAAATGTTTAGGTTATGTATGTTGCCCTTGCTCCTCCCCCCATGTTTAAATTTAATTGCCACTGTAACAGTATTAAGAGGTGGGAACTTTAAGAGGTGATTAAGTCACCAGGGCTTTGCTTTCATGAATGTATTAATACCATTATTGCAGTAGTGGCTAGTTATTTTGAGAGTTTGGCTCATTTTCTCCCTTTTACCTCCCTCCTCTCCCATGTGATACCTTCCACCATGCTTTGATGCAGCAAGAAGGCCCTCAATCTTGGACTTCTCAGCCTTCAGAACGGTGAGCCAAATAAATATCTTTTCATTATTGAGAGCTGAACTCTGATCTTTTTCTTTGCCCCCGCCCCTAAAAATATTCCTTTCTAAAAAATATTCCTTTCTAAGGGGGCCTGTTGAGTCATGCCTAGAAATGATAACAACCAAGCAAATGGGTTTTTATGATGTTGTTTACTTCCCAACCTGATTCTGGTGTAGCATCACATGAAAGACAGAAGACACTTACACATTCCTTTCAGCTGATTCCTGGTCTTTTGGACAAAACCTGACTCTTTCAGCCAATTGTCAATTAAAGAATCCCTAAATCCACCTATGACTTGCAAGCCCCTGCTTCGAGATGTCCTGCCCTTTTTGGGCCACACCAAGGTATGCCCTCCATGTATTGATTTATTATTCTACCTGTAATTCTTGTCTCCCTGAAAATGTATATTTTTATTTTTATTTTTTTTTTCTTTTCTCCGCCCCCCCCTCCCTGAAAATGTATAAAAATCAAACTGTAACCCAATCACAGTGAGTTCACTTGCTCAAATTTGGCTTGGAATAAACCTCCTTAAATTATTTTACAGTTTGTCTTCTTTTCTGTGGACATTATAAATTACCCAGCCTATGATACTCAGTTATAGCAGCAGAAAAAACGGACTAAGATAACTCCTACCTTAAACCTCTCTAGCACAATGCAATATTAAAAGTAGGTGCATAGTAAATAGTAATTTATTGTTGATTTTTATGACCTGGTTTCTCTTCCTATAATCCCAGACAGTAATGTGTTCTCTAGCATTATTTAAGGATAATAAATTGTGGAGCGGACTGTGATTGTAGCAGACAATTCCAGACCTGAAACCAAAGCAAACGGCAACATAAGATTGTGCAGATTAAGAATGAAAAAAATCCCTAAACAATGTTAGAAGCTGATCTTTAGATGAGACTTCCTAAGTTTTAAAAGAGACTAGCTTTTCTTACTATCCTAAAAATTATCTAGTAAAATCTTTGTTCACTTAGGGCTCGATATGTAGCAAAGCACACTCATGTATCATTTCAAAACTTTGCTAGGCTCCTCAGTACTCAAGAATTTCTGGAAATGAGTCCTTAGCAGTGGAAAGCTGCTTTTTAGAGTCTTCTAAAACAAATCCTAGAGGTTTTAATCTTCATTTCTAATGCAGACTAACAAGAGACTTATTTTCCTAATTTCAAAACAATCCAATTTCTTTGGCCGTATCTGTGAGTTGAGAGTTTAGTGTGCTTCGTAAAAAACATAAAACTGAAAAAAAAAAAACAACCAAGTCATTTTTCACATCTGCAAAGAACAGGTCCCACCCTAGCACTCCCTCGGGACCCTCGCTCCAGCACGCCTTGATAAGACACGGCTCCGCCCCACACCCATAGCCCAGAGTCCTTGGCAGTTTGTTGCTAATTTGGTCTCGGAGAAGCGAGGCGGGACTTCCGTTGTTTGAAAAACTTCCGGCGGGAACCGGAAGGTGCGGTGCCACACAGAATCCCGGGTGTTCTGACGAGCCCGGCGGGAAGGTGAGCTGTTTGTGCGCCTTGGCGGTCTTTCTGAGAGCTCGTGCGCCCGGCGTCCGGGCTCCGGTATTTGTGGGGCCATTTAAAGAGTTCTGAGCGCTCATCTGGGAAATAACACCCCCCTCCATTTTTAAAAAGTGAGAAGTATCATTACATTTTACTGTCAGCAGTCTGTGTCTTACAACCTGCACCCGGAAAAACCCTCCTAGCTGCCGCGTGTCACCTGGCGCGTCTTCTCAGTCAAATTACAGCAGTTCTTAGTGCATAGGAACAGACATGAGAAAGCCAGGCAAAGCTAGGTTGTTTTTGAACGGCAGAGTACTGGAGATGGGGGAGGAAGCACCCTTTTCACTGTCAGATGGTGGACCTGTCTGAATCAGCTGCATTTTCAGCAGTGTGCCTGGCATTTAGGAGGCGCTAAATAACTGTTGAGGAAAGGAATGAATGGAAGCTCCCTAGACAACTTTCCTCGAACCTCCCACATAACTGTATGCCATTAACATAATGCATAAGAATGGGAAAGAAGGCTAGTCTTGGTGTTCTGGGCACTGGGGTCGAGTCCTTTGCCACATATCTCTTCCCTTTGAGTAAAACATTTCACTTTATTGGACCTCAGGCTTCTGAATATAGCAGAACTGTCTGATCTTAAAGGCTCTAATATTTTGTTTTTATGACTTAGAGATCTGTGCTAACATTCCAAGCACTTCTTTAGGTCCTTCAGGGAAACTTATTTAGGTGCCTCTTAACATGTTCCCCTCTGCTCTCCTTGAATTTTTAAATTGTTGTTTTTCCAGTTTGAATTTAACATTTATATGTGTACAGATCCTTTTGCCCCTTTCTCCTGATTTTCATTTGCCCTAGTTTAGTACCTCCTTCCTTAGGAACATCACAGCAACCTCAGGATTATTGATTTGGGTTTTTGTTCATGTGCCCACAGTGATAAGAACGTTTCAAAGGAGGGAAAATCGCAAGTCACTAAATAATAGGAATGTTCTTATGTGCCATCACTTTTTTAAGAAAGCAGTGAGTGTGATGTATGGCATTGCCTAATAGTGATGGAAAATAAATGTAAATTCCTCTATAGAGATATTTGTGTATGTTCATTTAATAAGTAGTTATAGGACAGCTGTTTAGTGCTAGGCACTGTGATATGTAAGTGAAGAAGCCAAATGGTTTCCTGCATGGTGTTTACTGCCTTGAGGGCAATGCAGACAATAAGTAAAACATAAGGATAATTATAGATTATGTTACATACTACTGTATAAAGAAGTAAATAGAATTCTTTTTAAATATAGTATAACTGAGAAACCTGTTGTAGGCCTAAAATGTTAAGATCTAAGGGATGAGAAGGAGCCAACCAGTTGACAAACAGGGAAAGAGGGCTCCAGGTGGAATGAGCCTGAGGTGGGAAAGAACCATGCTTGTTGCAGGGCCTGAACAGATGTTGTGAAGAGAGCTGAGGAGCTACAGCAAGTGGTGACTGTGGTTAGAAAAGTAGACAGAACTGAATCCTATGGGGCAGTTTAGAAGGCCAGGGTAAAAAAATATGGTTTGATTCTAAGTGAAGAATGGGGCGGGAAGTCATTTAATGTTGTTAAGCATTTTCTAAATGTTCTTTTGCATTGATATGTGGTGAATGGGTTGTAGGAGCAAGAGTGGAAATAGGGAGGACAGTTAAGAGGCTATTGTAGTAGTCCAGGTGAGAGATGTTGAGGACTAAACACCTACTGGACCTCGTAGAGATTTAAGATAAGTTTTGGAGGAAGAATTCATGATTTACTAATAGTCTGGATGTGGGAGATGAAAGAAAGAAAGATCTGCCATGTTTTGGATTAGAAATTGGAACTTTGGAAGATGATGGATATGTTTATTATCTTGATGGTGGTGATGTGTATACATGTGTCAAAACTTAACAAATTTGTACAGTTTAAACACGTGCAGTATGTTGCATGTCAATTATACCTCAATGGAACTGTTTAAAAATATCCAAGGTTCCGGCTTAGCAAATAGGTGGATGGTGGTGCCATTTACTGTGATGGGAAAGGCTGGAGTAGGAACAGGTTTTAGTGGCATTGTGGATGCATTACGTTTTTGATAACTGAGGCATCTAAATAGTTTCAGAGGCTGGCGGTTTATTATGTAAATCTGAATCATAAAGGCAAGGTTTTAATAAGTGGATGATGTAGGTATTTAAACCCGTGGAAATGGGTGAGATTTGGGTTAATCTAACAAGTTTTATGATACAAAGTAAGAGGACATGGGAGAAGTGGAGATAGATAAACAAGCCCCAACAACATTGGTCTTTAAATTGGAGTATACCTAGCCCTGGGAGTATACCTGGCATAGTTACTAGAAACAATTTCTAGGTCCTCAGCTTCTAAATCACTTTCAAAATCTGATCTGCTTGAAATTGGCCTATCTGTTCATGCAGATTCTGCTTTCCCGCCCCCATCCCCTTTACACTTTTTTTTTTTTTAGCTTATAAATAACAGAAATTTATTTCTCACAGCTATTTGAGGCTGGGAAGTCCAAGATAAGGCACCAGCAGATTTGGTGTCTTGTGAGGGCTTGCTTCCTGGTTCATAGATGGCATTTTCTTACTGTATCCTCACATAGTGGAAAGGGTACACTAATTTTTTTTCTACTTGTGAAAAGAAATGCTTACATCTTACTCATCTTTTCATGGTATGTTGCCTCTGGGTGCCTAATAAAGGGGCAGTTGGAAATATTTGTTTCAGGGAAGCCTTTTTTAAGGGTAATGGTTAATTAAAACATAAGCCTGCTAACGGTTTGGCTATTCCTCTTTTAAACACATTTCTGTTAAGGCTGAAGTGTGGAGGTAGAACTGATGTGTGGTCTGTGTGGAAATGTTCTGAATTTGGGCATATTGTAGAATGGGGTGGCGGAAGTGCTTACAAGGTGATCTGGGTGGGTTGTTTGATCGGGAGCTTAGCCCTTCAGGATTTTACTCCTGGGCTGGTCAGATTCTACAGAGAAAAGCCTTCCCATTCTCCTCCCTAGAGGGTGAGGATCTGACTGGTAGCATTTTGGGAACTTAGTGGGAGAAGCAGACTTGAGGTTTTTCGTATTTAGCATTTAGTCTGTGTGGTTCCCATGCCTACAGTTAGACTTGGTGTCCTCTGCTCCAGAGACTGTTTTACCTTCTCCAGAGAATGTACTTCTAGATTTTTTCCTGGGGGCAGTTGCCTACTATTAATGGCATGTAGTAGAATAGGGCACCTACCCTTTGTGTCAGACAGCTTGCACCCAGCCCTAAACTCTTCATTAGTTCCAAAGATAACAGCTATGGTTTCCCATGAGTTTTTTGAGGATACTGCAGGATAAATTGGTTTGATTTGAAAATGCTCCCATTATTGGCTAGTGATTTTAATTTTTATGTAATGAAATCTGTTAATCTGTTTGGTTTTGGAATTTTGGGTCATCTCCAGGAAAAATTTCATTTCCCTACCCCTACTCAAGATTATGCAAAGAGTCACTGTTAATTTTTGTAGTTTTTTGTAGTTTTATTTTGTACATTTTTAAATCATTGGTTATTGGGGAATATATTTTTGTTCATGGTGTGGAGTTAGGGATTAAATACTGATTTTCCTTCAGAGAAATGGCTTGTTATCTCAATACCATTTATTGAATAATGCATTTTTGCCCTACCCTGGTGTGAAATGCTACCTCTATCATACACTGACTTCCTCTGTTTTTTATTGTGTAAGATGTATATAACACAGAAATCACAATGACGTGTTTCTTTATATCAGTATCTAGAAGTACTCATTTGAGGAAGGATGGCCTATATAACTATCGAATCCCAAAAAGAGTGAAGGAAATGAGAGAAGCTTATCCTGTCTATTTCCTGGAGACTACTTTCTTTTGTTCTCCTGGTTCCCTCTGAGCACTATTCTGCCTGGCCATTCTACACTTATTGGACTGTGTTGAGCCATAGCTGTTGGGAGAACATGTTCCCTTTTTGGCAACCCCTTTAGTATTTCTTTGAGTGATTCCTTCTTCCTCTAAGTGGGTGTTAGAACCAGAGGCATTATAACATATGACTGGTTTAGGAACTTGAATTGTTCCAAACTGTCAGAGTCTAATGCTGTTTTTATTGTTTGACAAACATTCTGTAGGTAATGAATCTTATCAGCTAAAGTAAATTTATTTACTTCCTGTATTATATTATATGTGGCTATTTGTCTTAATTTTTTTTAAAGAGCTGGGCCTTTGAATTTGGTAACTATTTTATAAGGGAATGGTTTTTTTTTTTTTTTTTTTGAGACAGAGTCTCTATTACCTGGACGGGAGTGCTGTAGCATCAGACTAGCTTACAGCAACCTCAAACTCCTGGGGTCAAGCGATCCTCCTGCCTTAGCCTCCTGAGTAGCTGGGCACATGCCACCATGCCTGGCTAATTTTTTTGTTTCTATTTGTAGTTGCATGGCTAATTTATTCTATTTTTAGTGGAGGTGGGGTCTCGTTCTTGCTTGGGCTGGTCTCGAACTCCTGAGCTCAAGTGATCTTCCCACCTCAGCCTCCCAGAGTGCTAGGATTACAGGTGTGAGCCACTGTGCCTGGCTGGGAATCGTTATCTTGTTTCAGGAAGAACCTGACTGTTTATTCAGCCCATCAGCATAGTTTATTTCATTGCTAACTTTGTAGAGAAGCCTCTATACTCTAAAAAGATACAGAAGAGGGAAAAATGTTTCTGTCTTTGAGATATAGTTTAATAAAGGACTTTATAATTTACTGCTCATAGTATCATCATCAAATAACGCAGAATACTCAAGCACACAATTCTAAAAAAACTAAAAATTGTCATCCTGTAGGAGCTTATATTTTTGAAAATATAGCCCACACTCTTAAGTTTTTTAAACTATTGGAAGCTGTTAGCTGTTCTTTTAATTGGCATCTACATAGCTGGGGAAACCAGTGCTTGGGCTTGTGAATAAACTTTTTTCTATGAAGTGTGAGTCTTGAATGACACATCATTTTGTAACTGGGTAAGTGATCAGACTATTCAATTCATGCTGATTTCATGTTCTGTTTCTTCCAGATGTCATCATTGCCAAGAAGAGCAAAAGCACAGGTTCAGACTGTGGTATTGAAAGATGAATTCTCTTCCTTCTCTGAGTTGTAAGCATATTGACTTAATATGGGGGTGGGTAAATGATGATTATTTTAAGGAGTAGTGCATTCTGTCAACTAACTCCTTACGTGATTTGGGTGGAAGAAAGCTGTGTCTTTTTCATTCATTCATGGAATGAACATTTGTTGAACTTATGCTATATTCCAGACTCTGTCTAAAGATAAAGTGTTGTGATAAAGTATTGAATAAGGAGAAAGTAACCAACTTAATATATAAGATAATATTTACATTAGAATGTAAGTTCCATGAGAGTAGAGAGTTGTATATATTGCTTTAGAACAGGGTTACTCAACCTCTGCAATATTGACATTGTGTGCATGATAATTTGTTGTTGTGAGGGTTCTCCTTTGCCTTGTAGGATGTTTAGCAGCATCCCTGGCATCTACCCATTAGGTGTCAATAAGATCCCCCCCTCCCCCCCGGCCAGTTTTGACAATCAGAAATGTCTCCAGACATTGCCAGATGTTCCCAGTTGAGAATCTCTGGTTTAGAGTACCATGTTAGGTGCTCTAAAGATATTTGTTAAATAAATAACTTATTAATGTTAGGCAGTAATAAGTACCATGAAGAAAAATAAAGCAGGGTAAGGAATGGAGAGCATGTTGAATAGTTGTAGTGGGGGAACATTTTGGATGGAATAGTCAGGGAGTTTTTTGAGAGGATGCGGCAAGAGAGCTAAATGAAATTTGGGAGTGCAACTTGCAAAGATCTTGGGGATGGGTGTTCCAAGTAGAAAGAGCAGCAAGTGCAAAGACTCTGAGGCAGGAATGAATTTGATGTGTTCAGGGAACAGCAAGAAGACCAGTGTGGCCAGTCCAGAGTCATCAAAGAAGAGTGATAGAAAATGAGATTGGAATAGGTAGGTACTAATAGGCTATGACAGGGTATTAGGATTTTATTTGAAGTGTGTTGGGAAGCTACTGGAGGGTTTTGGACAGGGATGCGGCATGATCTGGTTTGCATTTATTAAATATCATTCTAGTTTCTTGGAGGCAAGAATGGAAGTAGGGGAGTGGGTTAAGCAGATAGTTATAGAAACCTAGGGTTCTAAAAGTGAAAGTGATGAGAAATGGTCTAATTTGGGATATATTTTGAAGGTAGAGTAGACAAGACATGCTGTTAGATTGGATTTGAGACACGAAGGAAAGATAGGCATTTTGGGGAGACTGGAAGAGGAATGGGTGGGAGGGGTGGTAGAATTGGGGGTTCTATTTTGGATTTGGTAAGTTTGGGGTGATTGCCAGACATCCAAGTGAAGTGGGTATGCAAGTCTTAAGCTCAGGGGAAAGGTCAAGGTGAAGATACTGTATGTATAAAACTGAGACCCCTGTATTGAGCCATAGGACAAGATCAGATCAGCTAGCAGGAAAGCATAGAGAGAGGGGAGGAGAGGGCTGAGGACTAAGCCATGGGGGATTTCAACATTTAGAGGTTGGGGAGAGAAGGAGGAGTTAAAGGGATTAAGGAGAAGCTTCCAGAAGTAGGATGAAAACCAGGGGAGTAGGGGTTCCTGGAAGGCATGTAAAGGACATGCTCTAAGGGGTGCCAGATGCTGCTGAGAGCTCACTTGTGAATGAGAGTTGACTCGTTGCTTCAGAACTGCTTCATGTATAATAAAATGATACCTGTGCTTGTGTTTTCTTCATAATAACTAAAAGCCCTTTAATCTTGGCAATATTCCTATATGATATAGGGTTAGTCAGTAATCCTTGACAGGTGATGAGACTGAGGTGGGAGGAGGCCATCCTGCTCAGTTTGTTGATGGTGTGAGTGAAACCCTGGTTTTCTGATTCCTTGGTTTTCTAATTCTAGTTCCTTTTGATTCTACTGGTATTGTGTTATGTTATTCTAATGATTCCTATTTATTTGTTTTTGCTTACTCTTGGACTTACTAGTATCTACCTCTGAAGGGAATTCACTTTTAAAACACCAGTGGTTTGACCTATCAGAATTATGCTTTCCTAGAGTATAATTTAGTTAAGAAGTCCTTCAATCAGGTTTTTGCTTCCAAGCAGAACTTAACATTTAAACACCCAGACATCCCTATTCACTAGTCTCAGTGAAGGGAGTGGTCATCCTCACTAATATTTCTCTGTTACGTTAGGGTAGAAATAGAATGAACTGGGTTGGCAGGAGAATTATATTCCTTTAACAGAGTTCACTTGGCTGCTTTTTCACTGCGTTTGCTATGAGTTTAATTCTTTGTTGTTAGAAAAGTACTGTAGCTATGCCTGATCCAATCTGATCGGGAAACAAATCCATTCTTTGAAAGGAAAGAAAGGGTTAATTAAATCAGTTAGAAGCATCTTAATGCTGGATTTTTATGTAATGTAGGGTGTTTCCTAGAGCCATTTCTCACTCCTTTCATTGATTTGAATAACTTATTAATAATATAATTTGAATGAATTTAATTAGCACTTAGGAACTTATTTAAGTGCCTTTCGCTGTTATAATTGAAAAGCTCATATTGACTATGATGTGACATGACCCAGTAAATTACTTAAGGTAATAAATGATTTTTTATGTCTTGAATGTATGTGTATATGTGTTTGTTAGGTGAAAAGAGAATGGAGATACCTGTGATTTACAGCATATTGGGGTATTTTTACATGGGTGCCTGATCAACTCTGTTGGTTCAGTTCTTAGCAGTGACAGTTCATAGCCTTGTGTGCTCCTATCACTCCATTTTATATTAAACATCTCCTACTTTATCATTTTTTCAAAAAATATGTGTCTTTTTTTTTTTTACCCTTGACATTTGTTTTTGTTTTTCCTAGAAATTCTTTTGTCAATTTACTCCTAGATCATCTGCCTCTGAAGAAGATGACAAGGAAGATAGTGCCTGGGAGCCCCAAAGGAAAGTTCCTAGAACCCGTAAGCAGCCTGCTCCCAAGGAATCCAAACCAAAGAGGGTACCTCGGGTGAAGAAGAATACCCCACAGATCAGTGCTGGCACAGAAGGCATTTCTGTTAAGGAGGAGCTGGTAGGTGCCGTAGCTAGATAGAGGGAAGTTTCTAGTGTTCTAGTGTTACTTTCTCTTTATACAGAGTAGGACAAAGCATGTAAATGGCAGAAACTGCCCTGCCATGAGTCTTTATCTTCAGGTCTACTGTATTTCTTTATTTCCTTTTCTTACTCCTAGGAGGGGGTCTCGGTATGGTAATGGTGGTAATGATGGCGGCATTAGCAAATATTTGAGCGCTTACCATTAGCTGGGCAACTTGGTCAACATTTCATTTGAGTGATTTTACTTGATATTCATAATAACCATTGAGGCAGGTGCTATTATTATCCTGACTTTATGGATAAGAAAACTGAGGCAAGAGATGTTCAGTGACTTGCTCATGGTATACAGAGAGTAAGTGATGTTAACTGGGTTTCTAAGTCAGGAATATGGTTTTGTCAGCATTTCGGAAACTGATATATTTCTCACAGGTGTTTTTACCTCAGCCATGCTAATACGAGTGATATATACAATGAGTGCTAGCTTAATAATTAATAGTTGGAAATAATCATCTCAAGGACTTAAAATTCTTATGGCCCGCACCTTTTCTCTTTGGAGGATGAACTAAGTAGGGAATTAAATAATAATCAGAAATTTGCTTGATATGCATGGACTCAGAATAGGAGGATTAGACAAATTCATTCATTTGAGTTTATTGAATGTTTACTGTGTTCTAGGCATTGTGCTTGTCACAGTGACAATTGAACGTTTTAATTGCATGAAGCTAAGGTAGTCTGAAGTATCCATCTCACAGCAAAGCTTTCTTATCAGTGGGATGAAAATACCTCAGAATCTGTTTGCTAAGCTTACCTCTCTTTCATACATTACTTTGAAGAACGCTGATCATATTTGCTTTTTGTAGTTCTTTCTCTGCTTCTTTGTAGCTGACAACCCCCTTTATGATTGACACTTTCTTTACTTCTGCCAATTCATTTGATTAGGTTATTATGAACTCTTATAGGCCTGGGGGTCATTCTTTGTATCTCTGCTTTGATCCTAATATTCAGTAATTCTGGAAAATATATTTGATAGGAGAGAAGATTGCATTTTGACTATAATTTAGATTGAGAGTTATTGGTGTTTGTGTTATCTGTGTCACTTAGATAATGGAAAACAGGGTATCCTGTGAAACTATAAGCTCCTTAGGGACAGGTCTTTATCTTTTTTACCACTCTGTCCCGTGTGTCAAGATGAGTGCCAGGTCTCTTTCCTTCACTCCTGAGCTATCACTTAGATGGGGGCTGGCGAGGCAGTAGTGGTGCAGAGAGTAGTTCTTAGACTTTTGTGTGGACTCCTATTAGAGAAAAATGCCTGACATTACTCTGCTGTCATTCTTCTTTTGTCCTCTAGCCTTCTGTATAAATTAGTAGCAGGTGAAGCTTGTTGAGTTTTCTGAGCGTGTGAGATTCTTCTCCCCCAGTATGGTTGGCTTTGATTGCAAGGTTTTTTTTGTTTTATTTTATTTATTTTTTTGAGACAGAGTTTCACTTCTGTTGCTAGGGCTAGAGTGCCATGGTGTCAGCCTAGCTCACAGCAACCTCAAATTCCTGGGCTCAAGTGATCTCCCTGCCTCAGCCTCCTGAGTATCTGGGACTACAGGCATGTGTCACTATGCCTGGCTAATTTTTTCTATATATTTTTAGTTGGCCAATTAATTTCTTTGTATTTTTAGTACAGTCGGGGTCTTGCTCTTGCTCAGGCTGGTCTCGAACTGTTGAACTTGAGTGATCCTCTCGCCTTGATTGCAAGTTTTCATTTTGGTTTTCTGGCATATGTAGACCTATGCTTTACTCATTTTTAAAAAATGAACTTCTTATTTCTAAATAATTCACATGCAATGGTAAAAAATAATAGAGGGATTCTATGTACCCTTTATTTAGTTTCCCCCCAATGGTAACATCTTGCAAAAGTAGTAAAATATCACAACCAGTATATTGACATTAATAAAATCAACTGATCTTATTTAGATTTCTCCAGTTTTACTTGTGTTCATTTATGTATGTATGTGTGTATGTATGTGTGTATTATTTCTATGCAATTTTATCACATGTGTAGGTTTATGTATCAACCACCACAGAACAAGTGTTGCCCTTGTATAGCCACGCCCATCTCTCTTTTATTCCCTTCCCACTGTCATCTCTGATCCCTCCCAAGTACTAATCTGTTCAGGAATGTAAGTAAAATCATATAGTATGTAACTTTGAGGTTGGCGTTTTTCCCTAATCAACATAATTGTTGATCCTTGAGATCCTCCCAAGTTATTGTATGTGTCAATAATTTGTTCATTTTTGTTTCTGATTAATATTCCAGGGCAATGGTTTTTATCATCTAATTCTCATGTTTTCTCCTTGTGGTTTGATAGAATAGCTCTGTGGCTATTGCTGAAGGTGATTTGGAAGACAGAAAAAATAAATTGGATACTGTACAGACACTGAAAACAGCAAAGACAAAACGGAAAAATTCAGCTCAGTCATTTTCAGCTCCAAGGACCAAAAAGCTGAAAGTTGATGAAGAAACCAGCAAAGCCGGCAATTTAGAGGGTGGGAATAACAGCACAGAGACACCGTCCACAAGCACCATGTGGGAAGGTACATATAAGAAGGAAGAGAATGAAGATGACTTTACGTTTGGTCAGTCCCCTTTAAAGAAAATGAAGACTGAAATGTGTCCTCAAGGGCAGCCTGTCAAGTTTCCACCAAATGCCAGCAATATTAAAGAGGAGGTAGAAATGAACTGGGACATAGTACAGGTATGTGCAGCCTTTTCTGTCACTTTAGGTGGTTTGATTCCTTTCTTTCTGACTAGCATAAGGGTTGTACTGGCCAAGGGAAGGGCTGGGAGTTTTTAATTCTCTTTCCAGTTTTGTCAGTGATTTCTGGAGACTTTGGCTGCTGGTTCTTTTCTTGGGTACACTGTTTTTTGTTATGGCTTCTCTTCATCAGTTCTTTGGCTGAGAGCTCTGATCTCAGTCAAGGTAGGTCTTTGCTTTGGTGTTTTAGTGAACATACACTGTGTAGACAGACTACACCAACAGATTGGGCCTTCAAAGTTTTGTTGTTAACTTTTTATTTGAACTTGGACTGTATTTCCCCATAAAAGTAGTATAGGTGATTAGGTCATTGGCTGTTCATATTAATGCATCTATTTACCTTTAGCATAATGTTGTAATATACTACAAACAAGGCCTAACAATATTTTAAAAGAAAATTCTATAAGAATTCCAACTTGAAGTGCCAGAATTATATCTCTTACTACAAAAGAAATCAGATTTCTCCCACCTTTTTTTTGACTGGCTTTGGAGACATTAGAGGGGACCCGAAGGGTGGCTCATGAGCAGTGATTCTCAACCTTTTGTCTGCCCCACACACTGTGCGACCATTTCAAACTTAATTATTTATGGCAGTGCCCCTCAGAGTAGTTGGGGGTGACCTCCCTCCCTATTGTCTGCCCCATGTGATTCTAACATGTACGCCTTTCTCTGCTCTGTATGGTGGCTGTAGCGTCCAGGGCCTCTGCTGATCCTAATACTACTTCCCAGTCTGGGACTGGGAAGTAGTATATCATATTTTTTCTTCAGAGGAATGTCTTTTTTGCCCATGCTGCCTTTTTTTATTACCTATTAGTAGAATGTCACCAGTTGTTTTTAATCGTGATTTTTCTTCTCTCTGGCCTAGTAAGTAGTAGGATGTTACTTCATAGCTTTTCCTCTCACTCTTGTTTCTGAACAAAGTAGAAAGAATTCAGGGGAAGGAAGACGTTTTAGAAGTTCTCTTTGCATCCTTGGTGACAGAGTAGATGGGTGTAATAGAGAACCCATAGTGACACTGATGCCATTGATTAGAATGCTTTTGGTTACAATCAAAGAAAACAAATTAGTTTAAGCAATAAAGGAGATTTATTGACCTACATAACAGGAAAGTTTCAGTCAGTGCACTGAAATAGTCTCTCTCCTATTCTCTTAGTACTACCATCCTCATGATAGCAAAATAGCTATAGCTTTGAGTTTCTACCACTACAAACGGTATTTCTCCAGAGGAAGAAATTGTACTTGGGTTCTGAGTTCTAGTCCAAATCTTGAGCTTCATGCTGATTGGGCTAATCTCTTTGGCCAGGGCAATACAACACTCTGGCTATTGTTAATTCTTAAAACAACACTTGAGCCAAGTGCTGTGGATCTGGACTTGGGTCAAATGCTGTCAAGCCACATAGCTGCTGTATAATGGGGAGGTAACCACAATAACCCCGAAGGTTTCTGTGGTAAATGATGATGATATTGACTGAAATAAGAGACAGGAAAAGGTACAGATTTGAGGGAGAAGATGCTAATAAGTTTGATTTTTGTAGAGGTTAGGGAAGATAACAAGCAACAGGAGCATTTCTGAATGAGGCAGCATCCTCAGGAATGCCTCTTAAGAGGGAAGCATGTGGGCTTGATCTAGGAACTGAGAAGGCTGTTGGGCTGGCTTCTAATGATTGGGGAAGACTGGATAAGATGAGGTTGGAGAAAGAGGCTGATGTCTTTGGGTCATGGTAAGGAATTTGGATTTCAAATGCAATGTGAAATCAGTGACAGGTAGACATGATCCAGTATACATTTTGAAAGGAACATTCTTGTTGCTTTATGGAAATTAGAATAGACGGGACTTGGAGAGGACACAGGGAGAACAGTTAAAGGATATTTCAAGAGTCCAGGCTAGAATTAGACTGGAGTGTGGGGCAGAAGTAATGAGGAACAATGATAGACAAAGGAAACATTTTACAGTTTGAGTTGACTGGTTCTTAAGATGGATTAAATTTAAGAGTTGAAGAAGATGGACAAGTTAGACTCTCAGTTTTCTGGCTTAAACTGTTATTCAAATAGACATCATATGGGGAAAACTAGAGGAGAAATAAGTTTGGGAGGAAGATCATTTTGCAAATGCAGGATTTGAAATGCCCATTAGATTTCCAAGAGAATATGTCAAATAGGTGGGCTAAGTGAGCCTGGAACTCATAGAAGAGAGTCAGGGCTGGAGATGTGAAAGTAGCGTCCTTATGAGAAATTTGGGGGATAAGCTGTTGTCTCAGGATTTAAGATGCCTGGAGAATGAGGTATCCTCTATAGTCTCTGAAGTTTAGCCATTTATTTCATTAAGTTTTGAAATTCAGTCTGTTATATTTTGACTTGATTTTGTTAATCAGTTGATTATGGTAATTCTTTAATAATATTTTCCTGTTTATTTCTTCACAGTTTTTGGCAGGTTATAGACATAAAGGTTGAAATAATAATAAAACTTATTCCTTTTGTTCCCTACTTTGAAAAAACTGCTTAGGTTTTTGAGGACAATTATAGAAATTGTGTTTTATTTTTTCTCTTCTCCGGGCTGATTTTTCTAAACTTTTCTGCTTACATGTACATTTTCCTGAGACCTATAGACTTATTTTTAAAATATAATTATTTTGAATATGTAACTTCTGTGCATGATATAAAATTCAAAAAAGTCTTTCTACTCTAATGCTCAACCAACCAGTTACCTTTCTGTTCTCAGTTCTTATGAATTATTCTATATCAGTTCATATAGAGCTGATTGCATGGTTGCACAGTATTCTATTATAATATCGGCGTATTATAATTTATGTATCAGTTCCCCATTATAAATTGAGGTTTTTGCTGACCTTTACTGTGCCAGAAACAGTTCTCAAAAAAAAATCAATAATATCATTTTCTAGAGGTATATATATATTTACATATATATATATCTCAGGATAAATTTCCAGGAGTGGAATTTTGTGGTCAAAGAGTTTATGCATTGCAAATTTTGATAGGAATTGCCAAATCACTCTTCCTTCAGAGGTTATTCATTATACCTTTTCATTAATATGATTAAAAATGCCTTTCCCCTATACTCTTGCTGACATGGTGAGTTACCAACTCCTTGATATTTGCTGTCAATCTGAGAGAAGAAAAGTGCGTCATTGCATAATTGAAAAGTGCTCTCATCGAACACTGTGAAATTTGAATGATGCAGTGGTTTTGATTGAATTTTCCTGAATTGGTGAAATGTCTGTTTTACCATTATAATTGTTAATATATGTATGTATTTTATATAGTTTTTTATAAAAAAAACACAGCAAGGAGTTTCTAAGTGACTAGAGAACATTATTTGATACTACATTTTAAATTATATTTTACAATATGGATGTTTAATTTTTGGTATTTTAAATCACTGAGTGTTTTTGATTTGCAGGTTTTATCTGAGAGAACTAATATTGAACTTTGGGTGTGTGCCAATATCATTCGTCTCTTTAATGATGATAACACAATTCCCTTCATTATACGTTATCGAAAAGAGCTCATTAATAATCTTGATGCTGATTCTTTGAGAGAAGTTCGACAAACACTAGAAGAGCTACGGTAAGAAACCTAGAAAGAGATGAACCTAGTGTAAGGGGAAAACGGTATGTAAGCTAATGAGAAGAAACTATGAGGAAGTGAATGACAGTATATTTTGACAGTTCCAGTGTTTTGCTTCCTTGAATTATTGTAATCTGGATATAGTCCTATTCCTATGGAGAAAGTCTTTTCTGTTTTACTTATTTAGGGGGTGTATGGAGTCCCTCTGCTGGTGAGTTTATGCATAGCTAGGGCATGTGTCAGATAAAAGGTGGTTTGCAGTGAAAGTATATGCCTTAGAATTTGACAGTTGTCTTCTCTCATAGAAAAGATTGGGCATAATGGCAAAAGTAGTACTGTCAGCAGGAAACTCTGAGAAGTACATTTTAGTATAAATCTTTTAACAGCTTGTGTAAAATTGTCCTGTTAATTCCATAAAGTTCCTAAATGGAGAGTTCTTGGGCAGTATAGAGTTTGGTAGGCAATACATATGTTTCCTTTTTCCGTTCTTTTAATGGTTATGGTAATTTAGTATTTGTGGATTGTAAGTTTTTTATACTTATAGAATGGAAAGTACCTTTTAAAAAAAATTAAGCCTCTGAACTTAATTAACTCAGAAATATGTGTAGAAAGACCATAAGGCTGACCATATGATTCAATAGTGCTTATTAAAAGACTGTTCACCACTCATGCATTTACTGCATGTCTTCTGCAGGTACTATGTTAATGTGTATGTTCTTCAAGTCTACAACAAGGATCTGATTAAAATTGGGTATAATCTTACCATCAAGCTATTCTAAAAGTAATTAGGGTTATTTTTACTTACTAATCTAATGGTCTCAGATGTATCATGTATTCCATACATGTATATGTATCATGTATTCCAGGGCCAGGCTAGTATAATCAAGAATGGGGGATAAGAACTGGAGATTACAACTCCTGTCAAAGAGGGAAACCCTAATTATCTCCTACAGATTACTGTCATACAGAGTTTTCTGCCCAGTTGCTAGATCTCTTTATTTCTGAAAAGAAGCTGGTAATCTGGGTTTCTATGTGAGAAATTTCTAGGCCAAAGAAAACCATCTACAGGTCACATCTTTAAGGCCAGCAGTTTACAAATTCTGACATAAGCTTTTTGTTTGGTAGAAGGCAAAGTAATGAAGAAAGTCTGAGGGTTTGGGGACCTGAAATTGAGAAAAATGTCACAAACGAGCAAAAATCGTTTGCTGAAAAAAATTAAAGGTATTCTAACAATATTTGGTTGTGTAGGAGATAAACAGAAGCTTTATATCAAGATTATTATACTATTTTTCATGGTGCCTTGGAGGCTATCAGCTGCTTCAAGATGAAACTGTGTATCTCCTTCCCAGCTACTGGCTGCCAGAAACTCATTGAAGTGGATGATTAATGCAAACCTCATGCTTTTTATGAGATGCGTATGGCTACAGAAGTTGCTGCTGATGCTCTGGGTCAAGAATGGAAAGATTCTCTGGGAGGCTGAGGGGAGGCTGAGGCGGGTCATTGCTCAAGGTCAGGAGTTCAAGAGCAGCCTGAGCAAGAGCAAGATCTGTCTCTACTAAAAATAGAAAGAAATTAATTGGCCAACTAAAAATATATAGAAAAAATTAGCTGGGCATGGTGGTGCATGCCTGTAGTCCCAGCTACTTGGGAGACTGAGGCAAAAGGATCGCTTGAGCCCAGGAGTTTGAAGTTGCTGTGAACTAGGCTGACGCCATGGTACTCTAGCCCGGATAACAGAGTAAGACTCTGTCTCAAAAAAAAACAAAAAAAGAATGGAAAGATATGTGGTCTGAATCAGTGGTGGGAACAACAAGCAAGGTTTCTTCATGAAGCAGGGTGTCTTGACCTATGGCCATATCTGCCTGCTACTGAGTAAGGGGCATTCCTGTCATAAACCAAGGAGAACTGGAGAAAGAAAGCACGTATCTTTTTGAGGTTGCATTGTGGTTGGCAATATGAATGTTTTCAACTTGGTTATTGTGAGAAAAAGAGAGAAATATATTCTGGATTGACTGATAATATGGTGCCTCATCATCTGGGGCCCAAAAGAGCTAGCAGAATCCATACACTTTTCAATCTCTCTAAAGATGATATCCACCAATATTTTGTAAGAAAGCCCTTAAATAAAGAAGGTAAGAAACCTAGGACTAAAGCACCCAAGATTCAGTGTCTTATTATTCTACATGTCCTGCAACACAAACACCAGTGTATTGCTCTGAAAAAAAACTGTGTCAGGAAAAATAAGGAAGAGGCCACAGAAGATGCTAAATTTAAGGAGGCCAAAGAAAAATGCCAGGAACAGATTGCTAAGAGACTCAGGCTGTCCTCTCTAAGAGCTTCCACTTCTGAGTCCAATCAAAAATAAGATTTTCTGAGTAACACATAAATAAGATCAGATCAAGGAAAGATTATCATCACTATTTTCTTTTTCTATAAAAAACACTTCTACTGCAAAAGAGTTCCACTCCCTGGGTTTCCATGACTAGAGGAATAAATTGAATATTAGTAAAAGAATATTCCTTGAATTAGGCAAGGATGTTGACTACGGCTTAGAAGATCTTTTTTCTGTAAGACTGAGATTTCTTTTTGGTAATGAGATATGGTCTCTATTTTTTTTCTTAAGTTTAGCATTTTCTATAACTAGAGCATTGGTTTTCATTCTGTTAATTGTGACCCATACATGAGAAGTAAAACCAATTTAATAAGTCATGCCACTTAAAAAATATGAAATAGAGAATAGAAAATATGAGTTTCATGAAATGTTTCAATTATGTGGTATATATGTATATGTATACTGGATTATAAAATAAAATATATTTCTTAATATGGGTCATGATTAAAAGTGAATTATTCCTAAGTACTTCAACATATATCAAGGATTATGATATCTGAAAAAAATTTTATAATGAATATTTTGTAAATAAAGGTACATTTAGCTATAATTTTCCATTTTCCCTATGTATGGCAACTTTTGGGATATCCTGTATTGTCATTTTAACATGGAAGTAAAAATTGTTACTGAGAAAAAAAAAAAAGTGAATTAAAGAGTATGGTTCTGGATAGTAAGATGTATTTTTCTCTAAAAGTGCTTGTCATCTTCTTTATGTGCAGGCCAACAGGAATTGGTCTTTAGTCAAAATGACCATGATAGGCTTTAGGCCTTGAAAATAGTCTTGGGCTTCCAGTACTATAAAAGACATAATCTAAGAGGTTGTAATATAATCTAAGGACTATATTCTGCTTTTAGTGTTTTTATTTTTTAAATATATAAGTAGATTTAATTTTCTTTTCCATCAATCATTTTTTTTTTTTTTTTTTTGAGACAGAGTCTCGCTTTGTTGCCCAGGCTAGACTGAGTGCCGTGGTGTCAGCCTAGCTCACAGCAACCTCACACTCCTGGGCTCAAGCAATCCTCCTGCCTCAGCCTTCCAAGTAGCTGGGACTACAGGCATGCACCACCATGCCCGGCTAATTTTTTCTATATGTTAGTTGGCCAATTAATTTCTTCCTATTTATAGTAGAGACGGGGTCTCGCTCTTGCTCAGGTTAGTTTCAAACTCCTGGACTCAAACAATCCGCGCCTCCTGGCTCCAGAAGTCTAGGATTACAGGCGTGAGCCACCGCGCCCGGCCCCCATCAATCATTTTTAATAATTCTCTAACTTTTGGCCATCATTTTAGTGATGCCATTATTAGGCAGATCCTATAAATAGGAACAAGTGATGAAATAGTATCAGAAGCATTAAATAAAACAATAGAATTATATAGTCACAGTGAAAAACTTTTGTAAAGCAGAGGAACTGCTGTACCTACCTCTCTTTTTGTCCATGCTTGTATACTGATCCCTATATGTTGATTCCTGGAATCAGCTTTTTTACTTGGAATCTGGTGGTTTTTTGTGGGGAATGGTATTTAGAAACCAGTTATGGGTGGTGCTAGGTATGCCTTTCTTGAGCAGTGATACTGCAGTAGCAATGAGTATGTCCAATACCCATAACTTGGTTTCTAAGTACCATTCTCCTGATTTCAGGGCTTGGGTAGGGAAAGTAGAAGATGAGCCTGGGATATCTTGTGCCAGAGAATAAGGAAGTGCTCATGGAATGACAGGGATATGTCAGAAGGACACAGAACAGAAGCTAGCTAAAAGGGGCTACTTCTGGCCAAACCTGGAATAATTTGAACATTAAAATGCGATAGCAATGGATTATAACCACTGAATAAAATAAGAAATGAGTCTATAGTGATATAAATAAATCAGTGAATAAATTGAAAGTTTAATGAAGAATGGGATAATTACATAGTTTCCAAGTACCTCTCCACAAAATACTTAATTACAAGAGGAATAAAGAGTACCTGTGTCATGGAGAAACCCACAGATACTACCTTAATTGTCATGGTCAAAGTTAATTAGCAATGGGACAAATCAAAATCTTTTGCCACCTAATAGGATCTAGTGAGAAGAACACAGTGTCACTTCTACAATATTCCTGCCAAAGATGCACCATCTGAATTTAATTGTAAGGACACATCAGAGAAACCCAAACTGTGGGACATTCTTCAAAATAACCGTCCTATAGTATTCAGAAATATTAAGGTCTTGAAAATCAAGAAGAGGCTAAAATACTGTTTTAGTTTGAAGAAGACTATGGACATGTGGCAACTACATGCAAACCATAATGCTCGGCCGGGCGCGGTGGCTCACGCCTGTAATCCTAGCACTCTGGGAGGCCAAGGTGGGTGGATTGCTCAAGGTCAGGAGTTCAAAACCAGCCTGAGCAAGAGCGAGACCCCCGTCTCTACTATAAATAGAAAGAAATTAATTGGCCAACTAATATATATAGAAAAAATTAGCCGGGCATGGTGGCACATGCCTGTAGTCCCAGCTACTCGGGAGGCTGAGGCAGGAGGATTACTTGAGCCCAGGAGTTTGAGGTTGCCGTGAGCTAGGCTGACACCACGGCACTCACTCGAGCCTGGGCAACAAAGTGAGACTGTCTCAAAAAAAAAGAAAAAGAAAAAAACAACCATAATGCTCATCTGAATCCTCTGTAAAGGACATTATTGGGACAATTGGTGAAACTTAAATGAGGTCTGAGGATTAGATGGTACTAATATATCAGAATTAATTACCTGATATTGGTGGCTATATTATGGTTATGTAGGAGAAGATTCATGTTTATAGGAAATGTACCCTAAAGTATTTGGGGGTGTTGTTAACTTATTCTCAAATGGATCAGAGAAGAAAACAGTTCCTTTTACTTTACCTGCAACTTTTCTGTAAGTTTCAGATCGCTTCAAAAAAAAAGTTTTGACATATAAATTTTGTATATTATGAAAGTTTTTATTTTCAGGGCTGTTGCAAAGAAGGTTCATAATACAATCCAGAAAATTAAGAAGGAGGGGAAGATGTCTGAGTGCTTGTTAAAAACCTTGCTAAACTGTAAAACTTTTGAAGAACTAGAACATGTGGTAAGTTACCCTTTTTATCTTTTAATATAATACCTGAATATATTATGATTTGGATCTTTTTATAGTTAAAGACAACCAAGAAGTAAAAAGCTAAAATATTAGCCACCATTTAATTGAATGAAATATTTATTCTTTATTCAATAGATATTTAGAGAGTATTTTTTTTTTTTTTGCTAGACACCTGAGTTTGTAAAGATGAATAAATATATAATCATTATCCTTAAGGAATTCTCAGTTAAGTGGGGAAAGAGAGTTGATAATACAAATGTGAAAAGAGAGAGGGCTGAATTGGAGAGACCTAGATGTAAGTGTGTTCAGCCTGTAGTTGGTACTTGAAACCATGAGAATAGAAGAATTCACTCAAGGAGAGTTTGTGGGGTGAGCAGGTCAGGATTGACCACTGGGGAACATCAACTTTTAAAGTGTGGATGGAGGAGGGGAGAGCCTGAGGAGACATGGAAGAAATGGTCAGAGAAGTATCAGGAGAATTAGGAGATGATGGTACCTTGGAACAGGAGGGAAGAGAGTTTTAGAAGGAGGTAATGATCAATAACTAAATGTAGCAGGGGGATTTGGCAAAATAAGGACTGAAAAAAATATGTTTGATAATTAGGGATCATTGTGGATTTTAATGGTACCACTTTCAGCAAGGTGTGTGAGAAGAGAAGCCAGGTGGTGGCAGGTTGAGGAGTGAATGTGGATTAAGAAGTAGAAGGCTTGTGTGTAGACAATTTTTAGAGGAGCTTGCTGGAGTTGAGGAGAGGACCGTGGCATCCAGGCAATGAGTTTCTAAGATAAGTGAAACCAAACACACAGGTAATATAGCATATAGAAAAGCATGAAGAATAAGATAAGGCACACACCATCTTCATACAGTAAGTATTATCTAGTTAGTATTACTTCATCTCTGAAGGAGGAAGAAAGGGTTGAGAAAAAGATGTCTTAAGCATTCTCAGCATGGCTTCTAATTTTATATCCTAGTTTTAACTTTTGCTTTTTAAACTGAACCATATGATATGTTTTCTGCCTTTTTTTTTTTTCTAGTCTGCTCCATATAAAACTGGGAGCAAAGGCACTAAAGCGCAGAGAGCAAAACAGTTGGGATTAGAAGGAGCAGCCAGGACACTGCTTGAGAATCCAGGGGCGCTCAATCTGCTCTCTTACGTTAGACCTGTTGTTAAAGGTACCAGCTTTACTTACAGAGATCATCTTTGCTTTCTTTTTTTTTAATTTGAAAACTTATGTTTAAAAGTTATTTCATTTAGTAATGACTATATAAAAGAATATTGCAGCATATAAACAATAAATAATTCTAGTAAAATAAATCTTGATATACCTATTGCTTAGCCACTCTGCTTTCCTTTTTTGATGAAGTCCCTGTTCTAGTCTTTTGCTTATTTTTCTATGTATTTCTCTTTTTCTTATTCATTTATAAGTATTTTTTAGATAGTCTTTGTCACTTATGTGTTGCAAATCTTTTCTCCCAGTTCATAACTTGTCTTTTCATTTTCTTTATGCCATCTCTTAGTATGTGAGGATTGAATGTGGATTAAGAAGTAGAAAGATTGTGTGTAGATAATTTTAGATGAGCTTGCTGGAGTTGAGGAGAGGACCTTGGCAACCAAGGAGGAAAACTAAAGAAGGTTTTAGTTTTATTATAGTTAATTTATTAATCTTTTCTTTTAAGATAATTGCTCTTTTTCTTTTTAAAGAAATCCCTTCATATCCCAAGGTTATAAAGATTCTCCCATATTGTCTCCCATATTTAAAAAGCTTTTAAAGCTTTTATTTCTAAAAATTTTTTAGTTATAAAACTCATATTTACTCTTTAAATAGAATTTCAGCAATTCTGACATACACGAAGTATAAAGTGAAGCCCTACTCCCACACTTCTAAGAGTAAAGTTATCTTCTTCTGAAATTTACTTACAACTGTATCTTTCCATTGTGTATTTGTATGCACAAGAGAGAATGAGAGTGAGAGATAAAAGGTAAGATATTTCTAAGAAAAACCCAAGGAGAATGACAGTTGATACATGCCAAGATGCATTGGTTTTATTGTCAAAATGAACCTTTGAGTGAGAACCTTCTGGATAAGACTGGCTTTTTTCAGGAGTTCTCTGTTAGTGTTGAGTGGGGGGATTGATGCTCTGGTGATCCATATTCTTTTAAAAATATATTTTACTAAAGTATTTTAGAAAATTGTATATATTTAACATGTCCAAGATGATGCTTTGATGTACATATACATAGTGAAATGAATACCGTAGTCATTCAGTACTGTACATGATAATCAAGCACTTGACTTGTCTATCATCTCACAGTTACCTTGTTTTTGTGGTAAGAGTATCTGAAATCTACTCTTTTGATAAATTTCTAGTATACAGTACAATATTATTAACTGTAGTCCTCATACTGTACATTAGATCTCTAGTCTTATTCAGCCTTCATAACTACAACTTATTACCCTATCCTTTCATTCTCCCTCTCCATTCCAGTCTAGTTTCTTTTGTGCTTCTGTTGATTCTTTAGGTTGGGAGATATAAATGTCTGTAGGGGGCAGTCTCTGATAACAAAATCCACAGTACGTACTGAACTGTAGAAAATTGTAGCACACCATAGCCTGTTTTTGTTTTAAATAATCCAGCAAATGTGAATTTGTGATTTAAAAAATTGAGTAGGTATGTCTGTAAAATACAAATATCTGTTCATACTCAAACACACACATCTTAATATGTTTGGAAAAGGATGATAATAAAAGAAAAAAATAGGATTATTTGAGTTTAGAGATGGGTTGAAATGAATAAAATTCAAATTTAATTTTTAATGTGTATTTATAATTAGATTTACAAATGGTTGCAAAATTTAATATTTTAATGATAGCTGAGACTGTATAGCTAAGCATTAAAGTTAACCACAGTGAGAACTATCTGTGCCCAGTCATGGTATGTTTTATTAAGATTTTCAGAATGTTAGATGTATGAAAGTTTATTGACTGTTCCTATTTTTATTTTTCTTGTTATGACTGATTTCCTTTTCTTCTACTTCCCGTCACTTTTGGTACAAAGGTGTGAGTTCTCACATATACTGAGTTCCTACTAGGTAGGTTTTTGATAAACCTATTGTCATAATGGAATACATGATCATGGACACTTGGTGATACTTCTGATAATGTGGATAGACTACAGGCATGTGCCACCACACCCAGCTAATTTTTTCTATTTTTAGTGGAGATGGGGTCTTGCTCTTGCTCAGGCTGGTCTTGAACTCCTGAGCTCAAGTAGTCCTCCCACATTGGCCTCCCAGAGTGCTAGGATTACAGGTGTGAGCCACTGCGCCGGGCCCCCATAACACCTTTAATTTTTGCAAACACTTCATCAAGGAAGTACTATTATTATTATTCTATTTTTATAGGAAAGTAACTTTAAAAGAAGGTATAGAGAAGTCAAGTAATTTGCCTAACGTCTCATGCTTGGTAAGGGACAGAAACAGGTTATACAAGGCAGCTTACTCCAGAGCTACATTTTTTTTTTTTTTTTGAGACAGTCTCACTTTGTTGCCCAGGCTAGAGTGAGTGCCGTGGCGTCAGCCTGGCTCACAGCAACCTCAATCTCCGGGGCTCAGCGATCCTACTGCCTCAGCCTCCCGAGTAGCTGGGACTACAGGCATGCACCACCATGCCTGGCTAATTTTTTGTATATATATTTTTAGTTGGTCAATTAATTTATTTCTATTTTTGGTAGAGATGGGGTCTCGCTCAGGCTGGTTTCGAACTCCAGACCTTGAGCAATCTGCCCGCCTCGGCCTCCCAAAGTGCTAGGATTACAGGCGTGAGCCACCACGCCCGGCCTCAGAGCTACATTTTTAACCAGTAGGCAAGAGAGTATGTAAAGGGCCTGTATTATTGCTTTTGGAGACTAGTTTTTGTTGCAGAGGGAAGCTAGTCACTGCTACTGTACCTTTCTGTCTTAAGGTTGTCAATTTAAGATTTTATTTTGACCAAATTAATTTACTGTGATTTAATTATAGAATTTAAAATCAATCTTAAACTTTTTTGTTTTTGTTTTCCCTCTTACTCTTCTCTTAAAGGGCTTTCAACACTCCAGGATATTGAAATAGGAGTACAGCATATTTTAGCAGACATGATTGCTAAAGACAAAGACACGCTTGATTTCATTCGGAAATTGTGAGTAACTCTTATGGAGTTTTCTGCTTTGTGGACTCATGCTGTTAATGGTTATATGGTTAGTGCTAACACTGGTGTTCATTAAAAACTTTATTTTCCAGCTTTTTTTTTTAGTAGCAGAACTCTTTGTTCAAACAACAGAATCTTAATATATAAAACAGATAAAGTAAGGTTTTAATTGAATTCTGGGCAGGGAGCCTGGAATTCTGCCTACTCATGCTCCTTACACTGAGGCATCTCAGTGAAGGGCGCTGAAGAACACAGTTTGAAATTCAATGCATTACATAATATATACTAGAGAGAGTCATGTTCATTTGGAGTGGGTAGCATTGCTTTTTAAACCTGTTGATTGTGATTTATGCTTCATTTTATAATATCTCATTTCTTGTGTTTAACAATAATTGGGTTTACTTGAGGATGTATAGTATCAGGTATGGATAAAAGTGCTGACCTCAAAATGAATTTTGGCTTTTGAGGAGAGCAGTTTATCCATGGCATCACACATCAAATTTATAAAGAGATTAAAGCTCTTTGACCTAGAGCCTATTTGGGCTTATGGGTTTTATGCCTCATTAAAAAAATGCATTAATTTAAAACCCTATTTTTATATACTCTGTTCTTTTTCTGCTGTGTATCAAGAGAGAAGACAGGTTTCTGCCAGAGGTCTGCCCTTCCTCTCTCTCTACCCACATCTCTCTAGCTGTGTGAGCTATACAGAGGAGAGGGAAGGTGGAGATGACCCAATTGATTACTGTTGATTGTCAGGGTTTTTGTTAATACAAGAGAGAGAACTTTTCTATTTTCTCAGTGGTCCCAGTGGGAATGAGTTGAAATAGGAGAATTGCTCAGGTTTTAAAATGTGTTTTTATAAGTAATTAATGCTGCTTAACTTTGATTCAGTTTTATAAATTGTTATTGGAAGTTGTCCTGACACATCCTTTTATTTGCCTTCTTTTTAGTTTTTAATTGACTGTGACTACCATACTGGTTAGAAAAGGAAGATATTTAGACTAGAGTAATTGGTCTGATTTTTATAGATAGTTTTGGTCTCTTGCAGATCTGTAAATCATATCCAAATTCATTTGGATATTTAATGGAGGGGGTTGGGTTGATGTTCAAATAGATCAGTAGGACCTATGCTAGCATGAATAGACAGAGTCCTCTTTTGATGGGTCACATTTTCATAGCTGGGCATCATTAAAAAGAAATCTTCTTTGGTAATGGCTTAACTTTTTTGCTATCCTTATTTCCACATAATGTGTTTCTTTACTAAACCTCATATTAATAACTGCCTGTTTTTTTGAACATTTGTGTGTCTGAACAGGTGCCAAAATAGATACATTTGTATCCAGTCATCTCTGGCAAAAGTGTCCTCAAAAAAGGTAAATGAGAAAGACGTTGATAAGTTTCTTCTCTACCAGAATTTTTCATGCAACATAAGAAACATCCAACATCATCAGGTAAATAAGAAAACTCCTTGTGCATGCTGACAATAGTAATAATAACTTTGCATTTGCCTGCTACTTTACTTACTAAGGATTTAAAGAATTTCATGTCAGCTCTTTTCTTTTTATAAATTTTCATGTACTCCCTATAACCCCCCATTTCACAAATGAGGAACTAAAGACCTGGAGAAGTTAGTAAGTGACACTGAGAATTATTAGCAGAGCTGACAACATAACAACTCATATATCTTGACTTTCTGGCTGGCAGTCTTGTTAGACCCTGCTTCCGAGTATGTTTGGATTTGAGATCAATTCTGAATCTCTTCCAGGTAAAATACAAACCAGATACCTGATTCAGGATAAAGTGTGAGAGATCTTATTTTGTTTTGTAAATCATACTCATTGTATCTCAGTGTTTTAATTTGATTTTTCATTTCACTAATTTTTTTCCTAAATGTAGTCATAGGCTGTATGTATATTGTAGAATGTGGTTTTTAAATCACATAGGGGGAAAAAAAGAGGTGTTACAAACCAAAAATGCATTAATACTGGTTTTTATATTTACATATGTAGCTACCATTACCATATGTTATTTCTTTGTACGTTCTTTTTTTTTTGAGACAGAGTCTGGCTCTGTTGCCCATGTAGAGTGCCATGGCGTCAGCCTAGCTCACAGCAACCTCCAACTCCTGGACTCAAGCACTCCTTCTGCCTCAGCCTCCCAAGTAGCTGGGGTTACAGGCATGCTCCACCATGCCTGGCTAATTTTTTCTCTATATATTTTTAGTTGTCTAGAAAATTTCTTTCTATTTTTAGTAGAGACAGGACGGGGTCTCACTCTTGCTCAGGCTGGTCTCGAACTCCTGACATTGAGCAATCCTCCCGTCTTGGCCTTCCAGAGTGCTAGTCTTTGTATGTTCTTGAATTACTGTCTAGTGTCTTTTCATTTCAGTCTGAAGGTACTTACTATAATATTTCATGTAAGGCATGTCTTCTAATGACAATCTCCCTAGGTTTTGTTTTTCTGAAAGTTTTAATTTCTCTTTTTTAGAAAAACAGTATTTTTAGTTACAAAATGCACATAACACAAAGTATACAATCTTAGGCATTTTTAAGTGTACAGTTTAGTAATATTAAGTATAGATAGTCACGTTGTGCAACCAGTCTCCAGAACTTTTCATTTGGTAAAGCTGAAACTCTATATCCATTAATATCCATTAAACATTTCTTTCATCTTTGAAGGATAATTATTCTGGTTATAGAATTCTTGGTTATAAGGTTTTTTTTTTTTCTTGTAATACTTTGATTATGTCATCCACAGCCTTATGGTATGGCCTCTGTGGTTTTTGATGAGTTGTCAGCTATTAATCTTACTGAACCCTTGTTCATGACAAGTCATTTCTTTCTTCCTGCATTCAAGATTATCTGTCTTTATCTTTTGACAGTTTGATTATAATGTGTCATGTTTTGGGTCTCTGGGTTTATCCTACTTGAAGTTCATTGTGATTCTTAGATTAATGTTTTTCATCAAAATTGGGAAATTCTTGGTCAAAATTTCTTCAGATATTCTTTGTGCTCCTTTCTCATCTCTCTTGGGACTTCCATTGTATGTAATGGGTATGCTTGATAGTGTCCCACAGGTTTCTTAAGCTCTGTTCATTTCTTTTTCTCTCTTTTCTGACTGTATAATCTCTATGACTGCCTTCATGGTTGTTGATCTGTTCTTTTGCTTGCTCAAATTTGAGCATATTTAAGACAGTTGATTTAAAATTTTTGTTTGATAAGGCATGTCTAAGCTTCCTCAGGGACAGTTTTCATTAATTTTCCTGTGAATGGATCATACTTTCTTGTTTCTTTGCATGGCTTGTCATTTTTTTGGGAAAAACTGGATATTTTGAGTGTTATAACTTGGCAACTGTGGAAATTGGATTGTTTCTTCTCCTAAGTGTTGGTGCCGCTTATTGTGGGTTGTTGGCTTTCTAAACTATTTTTGTAAATCTGTATTCTTTGTCATGTGTGGCCATTGAGGTCTCTCTTCTTTGCTTAGTAACCAGCTAGTTATTTGATAGAGATTTCCTTAGATGCCTGGAGCCCAAAACAAACAAACCAACCCCAAACTCTCCCAGGTTTTGTAGGCTGGTTCTGTGTTGGGGCACTCCTTCAACCCTTGTGAGGCCATTAACAACTCTGCCTTAGCCTTTTCTTCCTGTTTGCATGGAGCCCAAAGGTCATTCAGAGGTGAAACATAAGGTCTTCTTAAGTCTTTTCAAAGCATGGGCCTAGCTCTGAGCATGCAGGTGGCCTACTAGAGTCCCTGGTATACACAGGAATTTTAAAAAGCCCCATTCCCCTCAAATATCTCATTTCTCAGCTTCTTCCTTCACAAGTTTTTGATCTGTTAGTAGCCCCACTGTTTTTCCTTACCTCTCATGGCTATAGGTAGTACATTTGCCTTTAAATGCTTTTGACAAAGGCCACCTGAGGAGCTGTTTCTGTCCAGAGTGAGCTCTAAGGCAGGTGAAACAAAAGCAAGCCCTTTAGTCAATCCCTCAGAGATGCACCAGACAGATTAAAACACACAACCACAATATTTGAGAATAAGATCCATACTGCTCCTTATAGTAGCAGCAACCTGCCCTAGGAATTTGGGCTGTCATCTTCATGGCCAGTGCAAATCTGGAGAGTGGAGGATGGTAAACAAATCAGTTAGAAGTGTTTATGGAATTTCTTTTGGAAATTCTGTAGCTTCTTTATTCTTCAGGTGTTCCTCTGGTTGTTGTAAAGTTTTAATTAGATTTCAGAATTTTGAAAAAGCAACATCTTTAAAGTATAGTATCTATGCCCCTGTTCTATTCCGAAACCAGGATGTGACTTTTAACAATATAAAATTTCCTTCTTTATCTTGTTTAATGCTTTTTATCTTGAAGTCTACTTTGGTCAGGATTGCAACCTGTGCTTTCTTGATGGAAATTGACCCCACTCTTGTTTTAATCTTGGCCCTACAATTATGTGAAATGCTTGTCCTTAGTCCTTTTGCCAAAGCTCTCCAGTCTTTTGGGTGAATGGAGTTTATTCTCTAGTCTAGTAGGAATTGGTAAACTTTTTATGTAAAGGCCCAGTGAATAAATATTTTAGGCTCTGTGAGCTTTTTTTTTTTTGCAACTACGTGACTGCCATGTAGCATAAAAGCTGTCATATACAACACATAAATGAATGAGCATGGTTTTGTTTTAATAAAATTTTATTTACAAAAACAAGTGGCATGTTGGATTTGGCCCATGGGCCATAGTTTGCTGACCTCTGCTCTAGTGTATGTCTTAAGAAGGGTATATGTGGCCAGGTGCAGTGGCTCAAGCCTGTAATCTAAGCACTTTGGGAGGCTAAGGTGGAAAGATCCCATGAGGACAGGAGTTTGAGATGATCCTGAGCAATATAATGAGACCCTGTCTCTACAAAAAAATAGAAAAATTAGCTGGACATGGTGGTGTATGCCTGTAATCCTAGCTACTCAGGAGGCTGAGGCAGGAGGATTGCTCGAGCCCAGGAGTTTGAGACAAACATGGGCAACATAGTGGGACTTTATCTTAAAAAAAAAAAAGAAAGAAAAGAAAATCAATTCATTTTAGATGTATAGGTTTATTTCTAGATTCCCAAATCTATTCCATTGGTCTGTATGTCTGTCCTTATGCCAATACCATACTGTCTTGATTACTGGGGCCTTGTAGTAAGTTTTGAAATCGGGAAGTGGGAATCCTCCAAGTTAATTCTTCTTTTTAAAGATTGACTTGGCTATTCTGGTCCTTTGAATTTCTATATGAATTTTAGAATTAGTTTGTTAATTTCTGTAAAGAAACTAGCTGGGATTTGATAGTGACTGAATCTGTAAATAAATTTGACAAGTATTACCATCTTAGCAATATTAAGCCTCCTCATCCATGAACATGGGATGTCTCTTCATTTATTTAGGTCTTTCTTTAATTTCTTTCAACAATGTTTTGTAGTTTTCATAGTATAGTCGTCCCCTGGTATACACGGGATTGGTTCCAGATTGGTTCCTGGTATACACAGGGGATTGGTTCCAGATTGGTTACACCTCTCTCACAACCAATACGTGGTTGAAAAAAAAAATCCACGTATAAGTGGACCTGTGCAGTTAAGACCTATGTTGTTTAAGGGTCAACTGTATAAGTTTTGCACTTTTTTTGTTAAATTTATTCCAAGTATTTTATTCCTTTTGGTGCTATAGTAAATGAAATTTAAAAAATTTATTTGCAGAATATTTATTGTTAGTGTATAGAAATTGATTTCGTATATTGATCTTGTATCCTGCAACTTTGCTGATCTTTTTATTAGTTCTAATAGTTTTATAGTGGGTTCCTTAGAATTTTCTATATACAAGTTGATGCTCGCTGCAGATAGAGAAAGTTGTACTTCTTTCTTTCCAATTTGGATACCCTCCCTCACTTCTTTCCCCTTTCCTGGCTAGAACCTCCAGTACAGTGTGGTGAGAGCAGACACCCTTGTCTTAGATGGAATCCAGTTCTTCACCATTAAATATGATGTTAGCCCTAAAGTTTCTGTACATGCGCTTTCTCACATTGAAGAACTTGCCTTATATTCCTAGTTTGTTGAGTGTATTTATCATGAAGGGGTGCTGGATTCTGTCAAATGTTTTTTCTGCATTGAGATGCTCATGTGATTTTTGTTTTTTATTCTATTGATATAATGTATTATGTTAATTGATTTTTGGATGTTAAATCAACTAGTCATTCCTGGAATAAATTCTACTTGATCCTGGTGTATAATTCTTTTTTTTATATATTTCTAGGTTTGGTTTGCCAGTATTTTATTGAAGATTTTTTTTTTTTTTTGAGACAGAGTCTTGCTTTGTTGCCTAGGCTAGAGTGAGTGCCGTGGCATCAGCCTAGCTCACAGCAACCTCAAACTCCTGGGCTCAAGCGATGCCTACTGCCTCAGCCTCCCGAGTAGCTAGGACTACAGGCATGTGCCACCATGCCTGGCTAATTTTTTCTATATATATTAGTTGGCCAATTAATTTCTTTGTATTTATAGTAGAGACAGGGTCTCGCTCTTGCTCAGGCTGGTTTTGAACTCCTGACCTCGAGCAATCCGCCCGCCTTGGCCTCCCAGAGAGCTAGGATTACAGGCGTGAACCACCTTGCCCGGCCTTTATTGAAGATTTTTATATCTATATTTATAAGATACACTGATCTCTAGTTTTCTTATGAAGTCTTGTCTGGTTTTTGTGTCAGGATAATACTGGCCTCATAGAAAGAGTTGGGAAGTTTTCCCTTCTTTTATATTTTTTGGAAAAGTTTGTAAAGAGTTGGGATGAATTCTTTTTTAAATGTTTGGTGAAATTTGGTGGTGGAGCCATCTTGGACTGGACATCTGTTTGTGGGAAAATTTAAAATTACTGATTGAATGTCTTTACTTGTCATAGGTCTATTCAGATTTTCTATTTCTTTTGTATTTGATTTTGTCCGTTTGGTTAGGAATTTGTCCATTTTATCTGTTATATAATTTGGCATACACTTGTTCATAGTATTCTCTTATGATCCTCTTTATTTCTATAAGGTCCATAGTAATGGGCCTCTCTTGTTCCTGATTTTGGTGATTTGAGTGTTTTCTTTTTTTTCTTGGTTAGTCTAGCAAAAGGTCTGTTAATTTTGTTGATATTTTCAAAGAACCAACTTTTCATTTTGTTGATATTCTCTATTTTCCTATTCTCTATTTAATTAACTTTCATCCTATTATTTATTTATTTCCTTTCTTCTGCTTGCTTGGTTTTGTTTGTACTTCTTTAAGGAGTGTTTTTAATGTGTTTTAAGATAGTTGCTCTTTTAATATAATATTAACAGCATGGATGGGTTGATCTGAGTTTAATTTTCTCCTTTGTTACTTGCTACCTTTGTGATTTGGTACAAGTAGTCTCAGAAAAATTATTATATAAAAGGAAGACGATAATACACACATCACTGGTGGCTGTAGGATTAATGCTCAGATGGACCGTAAAATTTAGGTGCTCAATAAATGGTAACAATTAGTAACTATTAAATATTCCACTTACGATTTCACATGTTTGTATTTATCCTAGTATAAGTTATTTTTGCACATTTATAAAAAGTATACCCTTCCAAGCCAGGCATGGTGGCTCACACCTGTAATCCTAGTACTCTGGGAGGCTGAGGTGGGAGGGTCACTTGAGGTCAGACCCTATCTCTACTAAAAATAGAAAAAAATAGTATGTGGCATGTACTTATAGTCCCAGCTACAAGTGAGGCTGAGGAAGGAGGATTGCTTGAGTCCAGGAGTTTGAGGTTGCTGTGTGTTAGTCTGACACCATGGCACTCTACCCCAGGTGACAGAGTGAGACTCTTATCTCAAAAAAAAAAAAAAAAAAAAAAAAGTATACCCTTCCAACTCCAGATGGTCAAAAATTTTCAATTAGTAGAATGTGAAATGAGATTTTATATCACCAAAGTCTGTTCTTGTGAATGTGATAGATTGGCTTTGTTACTGTATTTTATTTTTAAAAAGCATGTTATGGTTTTTATTATGAGGGAGGTAGGTTACTTGAAAAAAGTATAAACAAATTATTATTTTGGATACATTCATGGTAAATAAATGAATAAAAAATTGATATATCAATTTTTACTAATAAGTCTTGGCTAGATAGCTACCTGATTTGTTTCAAAAATGTTGACTGTTTAAATTTATCATTTATATATTTTGTGAGTTATCAGTCTTTGCCATATATGTTTGTGCCCAGATTCTGGCAATTAACCGTGGAGAAAATTTGAAGATCCTGACAGTTAAGGTCAACATTTCTGATGGAGTGAAGAATGAATTCTGTAGGTGGTGCATCCAAAACAGGTCTGTTTATAGATTTTTATAGAATTTCCTTTCCTTTCTAAAATACCATGCTGATATCTAAAGGAACTGACATGGGAAGATGTTATTATGTTAAATAAAAGAAAATGATAGAAAATATATATAGTGTTTCTTTTGCATATTTAGAAATAAATGAATAAATGTACGTGTTATATATGTTTAAATAGAAAATATCTGGGAGAGTACATAAGAAATTATTGATAATGATTATCTCCAAAGAGAGGAACTTTTACTTGAATTATATTCTATACCATTTGAATTTTTTACAAAGAGCATCTCTTTGCTTGTAAAAGGTAAATAAATAAACAAAAACATACTTTATATAGCACATCTGAAATGTTTAACTCATTAAAGATGATTGAAACAAAAATTTAACTTATAGGATATGATAATACACATCTATAAATGTACTATATATGATTTACCTAAAATATTTTGTACATTAAGGATGATTGAGATAAACATTACATTTATTAGATATTTTAAAGAAAATTTTAAACTTAGGTAATTTTTTATTATCCTTTTCATTTGTTAAAAGAACGTTTTTAAATAGCGCTAGTCATTTGTATAACCTTTTATTTATTTATTTTTTTTTTATTTATTTATTTTTTTTTTTGAGACAGAGTCTCGCTTTCTTGCCTAGGCTAGAGTGAGTGCCGTGGCGTCAGCTTAGCTCACAGCAACCTCAAACTCCTGGGCTCGAGCGATCCTTCTGCCTCAGCCTCCCGAGTAGCTGGGACTACAGGCATGCGCCACCATGCCCGGCTAATTTTTTATATATATATCAGTTGGCCAATTAATTTCTTTCTATTTATAGTAGAGACGGGGTCTCGCTCTTGCTCAGGCTGGTTTTGAACTCCTGACCTTGAGCAATCCGCCCGCCTCGGCCTCCCAAGAGCTAGGATTACAGGCGTGAGCCACAGCGCCCGGCCTGTATAACCTTTTAAATTTTAGTTTTAACTTTTCAGAGGTATTTGATCCTCACAATAATGTATTTGGTTGGTAGAGCAGATTTTGTAGCCACTACTTAATCAAACAGACAACCAACCCATAGTCACAGGTGTAAGAAGTAATATAATATATGACTGAAGTGAATATTGTAATATTATATTATATTATTATATACAATATTATGTACAGTGTATTACTTCCTACACCTGTGACTATGAGTATGTTACTTAATTTCTTTCTCAGTTTCATCATCCTTAAAATGGTGGGTAATATCTTCCTCATAGACTTAGAGGATTAAGTGATTTAAAAAAATTTTTTTTGAGACATAGTCTTACTGTTGCCTGGGCTAGAGTGTGGTGGCATCATCATAGCTCACTGCAACCTCAAACTCCAGGTTCAAGGGATCCTCCTGCCTCAGCCTTCCAAGTACCTGGGACTAGAGGCATGCACCACCATACCCAGCTAGTTTTTCTAATTTTTTGTAGAGATGGGATCTTGCTCTTGCTCAGGCTCATCTTGAACTTCTGGCCTCAGGCAATCCTCCCACTTCGGCCTCCCAAAGTACTAGGATTATAGGCATAAGCCACCTTGCCCAGCCTAACTGATACTCCATGTAATTGTGTAGCATGATACCTGGTAAAGAATAAGCCTTTGATGGTATATGTTATTACAAAGTGGTACGATTATTGTGTCAATTCTCTTTTTAGAGAAGTAATGGTAAATAAATCACAGTAAATTGAAGACAACTTCTGGCTTATTTTCCTATAAATATTCATAATACTCAGCATCAGAGTCAGTCCTCAGTAGTTAAAGAAGTATTAGTTATGCTTTTAACCTATTATTGTTATACTAGGTAAATGTCAAGGAATGGTTTTCTTTATGGTGATTTTTTTTGGCCTACCTATATATCACTCGGTTCTACTCTAATGGAGTAATTGGTGATATTATTTAACCTATAGTATAACATTACATCATTATGCTATAGTAATATAATTTTTAGTCAGGTTTAGAAGTTTTTCTTCATATAGATAATTCCAAGAACTATGCTTTTATGGGAACTAAAGGACTTTTCTCAATTTTTTTCTTTAAACATATTCGAATAACTCTGTAGATGCTTACTCAATGAATCTTTTCTTCTTCTTTTTTTATTCTCTTTGTTCCTATTTCTTCTATCCTCGTCCCCAACATACTCATCCATTCAGGTTTTGTGCTAGATGTTGGAGATTTGCTTGTAAATTAGACAAATATGCTACTGCCTGTCCTTGGTGATAATGTAGTTTACTGAGAACAACATTGAGAAAATAGGTAAGAATGCATTGAGTTATGAAGAGGTGCAGTATACTTGTAAGTGCTTGTACCAGAGAACTCTAGCATGAGCTGGACACAAAGGTAGGACAGAGACAGAAGAGGGAAGATAAGTGACACGAAGTGAAGATTGAGATATTGGCATGGGCCAGATCATACCTAGCTTTCTAGATATGCTAAGGATTTTGTTTTTTATTTTAAGGGTGGTAAGACCCAATAAAGGTTTTAAACAGAGGAGTGTTATGATCAGATTACATTTAAAGAAGATCACTCTGGCTATAGTATAGACAATTATTTGGAAGGAACCAAGAGTAAATGGGGAGCAAGAGATGATGGTAGCTTGGACTAGGGTGGTAGTAATAAGAAATAAGTAGACATATTTAGGAGGTAGAGTCTATAGGGGTAGAACAAAGTATCTGATTAAATGGTGGATAGCTTGGTCAGGGAGAAGTAAAGTGAAACATGACATTTGTATGACCTGAACAAGATGATGGTACTATTTGCTATCATACTATAAATATATAAACCACTGTATAATTAGGGCAAAGAATGATTTAAATGGAAATCTTATTACCTAACTCAATTAGCATTAACAAGGAGGAATTTAACACTAATGTATTAGTATTAAAAATAATATTTAGATTCAAATCGGCAACTGACAATTCATCATTTGTAATTTTATGATGCTAGTACCAGAGGATAAGTATGAGAGGATTTCTAAGTTTGTCAGATGCTGAAATAGTTGTTATGTTGTCAGAACCCCAATAATCCAAGTTTCCACATTTGTTTTTTAAATAAAAACATATGTGAGGGAATGATCTCAGTAGTTCTTGTGCGTGAATTGGATTATATGGTCACCAGAACTTGTCTTTTTGAGTTTGTAGATTTTTGTGTCTTTGACTTGATAAGTAAATTTCTATTCTCTAAAATGGTGCTGCTGTTTTTCATGTAGTAGATTTAAGGGGAACTATTTCCTGTATCTAGTTCTCTTTTATTTATTTTTTTATTTATTTATTATTTTTTTTGAGACAACGTCTCGCTTTCTTGCCTAGGCTAGAGTGAGTGCCGTGGTGTCAGCCTAGCTCACAGCAACCTCAAACTCCTGGGCTCAAGCGATCCTCCTGCCTCAGCCTCCCGAGTAGCTGGGACTACAGGCACAAGCCACCATGCCGGCTGATTTTATATATATATATATTAGTTGCCAATTAATTCTTTCTATTTTTATGGTAGAGATGGGGTCTCGCTCAGGCTGGTTTTGAACTCCTGACCTTGAGCAATCCGCCCGCCTCGGCCTCCCAGAGTGCTAGGATTACAGGCGTGAGCCACCGCGCCCGGCCTAGTTCTCTTTTAAATGTGGCAAAATGAAAGCTACGTGGAGAGAGCCTATCTTTATCTTATAGATAAGAAATGGAGAGAGCATATTTCTTTGACAAAAAGGAGAATATTTCTTTGTGTATAATGGGTGAACAAACATATCTCTGTCAAAACATACAGTTTAGTACTTGGGTATTTTTGGTTGTTTATAGTACTATCGTGGTCGTTATAGGTGTTTGAGTTTGTGACCTCCACCTTAATTTTGTGCTTTCTTGTGTACATCTTATATAGTTTGTGTTTTGTATTGTGGAATTTGGTTTAAGTGAAGTCCTTCTTAGTTTTATTAAGAAGTATTTAACTGTTGAATCAGAGGAAGAATCAAGTTTTGAGATGATATCCTGTAAGGCAAACCCATTATATTTACTTTAAGTTTATAGATACAGTAGTAATATATAAGTAAGTTTATAGATACAGTAGTAATATCTGTTAATTCATTATACTGTTTCAGGTTCCTTAGTGTGGTAGTCCTGTGAATAGTTCTCAGCAAGACAGTGAAGGGGCAGAAATTGTTGGATAAGGAACCAAAAGGAGTTCTTGTAATATAGGAGGTGGATATAGCTGTTACATAGTTTTCAGGGTTGAGTCTGATTGAATGGATATAATTGAGGCATCCTCAAAAATAAAATGGAACCACAACACTCTGTTCCAGGGAAGAGAGCAGAGCAGTTCAAGCTGAAGAAGGATCTTAAGGTTTAAAGACGACTATTGGGGCTTTGCGGGAATGGGCAAGTAATATTAAAGATTTCTGGCTTTTTCCTGCAAGCAATGGGGAAACTTTGGCTTAAAGGTAATGACCCTATCCGCAGCAGATATATACATTAAAAAAAAAAAATCACTCTGTTTGAGTCTTCCTGCCTCTAAGGACTATCTTCTTAGTATATTGTTCTGGAATGCAGGACTATATTCTCTCCTACCTGGCCAAGCTCCATAGCATTGTGTATAAGACTCTTTATGATCCAGCCACTACCCTATTTTCTAGCCTCTCCTCCTGTCTCCACTTGATCCTGCCTCTGAGCTTTTACATATGCTATGGGTTTTTTCTCAGATTGGGCTTATTGCTTTGTCTTGCTTGGTGAATAAACCACAATTCATTTTTAAAACCCCTCTCAGATGTTTCGTATAAGACATCTTTCTTGACATTGAATGCCCCAAAGTAATATTAATAGCAACATGTGTCAGACACCATTATAAGTCACTTACATATATTAACTTAAAACAGCTCAATGAAGTAGGTACTATTATTATTTCCATTTTACAGATGAGGAAATAGTAGCACAGACATGGTAAAGTAAATCTGCCAAGAAAGTGGTAGAGCATAATATGAACCAAGGCAATATGGGTCAGGTCTTACTTTTAACTAGTGTGTTTGACTGCTACTACTCTTCCTTTTGGGCTCTCTGTATCTTTGTCTTTTACATATTTCTGTTTTTCCATTTGTTGTGCTATATATTTGTTCAAATATTTGTTTCATTGAAAATAGGGCTTGTGTGTAATTTATTTTCTATTCATTTGTACCACTCATTCCTTAAAGTAAAGGTGAAAGTAAGGAGTAGCAGGGATTTGGGTGGAAGGGTACATGTCCTGCCTAAAAACACCTTCATTCAAATTTAAAAACAAAACTATATGTTGCTCAAATAACACCCTTTTAAGGAAGGGATTCAGTTAGTTGCTATTATGTAAGCTTTGTAAGTTACAAAGGTTGTAAATGCTTAAATATTTGTTCACTGAAATTTAGTTCATTTCCTAGCCTGAGATAAGTAAGGGAGATGAGAGTACCCTTAAGATATGTTAATAGTTTAGTAGAAACCATTAATATTTTGTTAATGGTTTCTATTCAAGATCTATTGAAGGACAAGGACAGAGATGCAGTAAATAGATGCAAACCCAGAATGGGTAGGGCTACATTTGTCCTTTTAGCTTGAGCTTTTCTATTTTTTCCCCATGTCCACTAATAATTAGTTCTGTGGCATTTCACTCCTCAGTATGTATGCAAATGCTGCCTGGTTAGAGCAGTATGGCTTGAACAATAGAGTTAAGTTCTACTTAAAAATGGCAAGAAGAAAGGGTGAAAACATTTTCTCCTTTGCTTAGTCAACTTTAACTCTTGGGAAGAGACAAAGACATGAGAAAAGAAAGATATGGTACTTGTCTTAGCTTGGATTGCTGTTTGTTACTAAATACCATAGAGTGAGTGGTTTAAACAACAGAAATTTATTTTCTCACAGTTCAGAGCCTGGGTAGTCCAAGATCAAGGTGCCATCCATTTAGTTCCTGGTAAGGGCTCTCATCCCAGCTTGCCGAGGGCTGCCTTCTTCCTATGTTCCCACATGGTAGAGAGGGAGAGAGAGCAAGCTCTCTGGTGCCTCTTCTTATAATGATATGAAACCTAATTATCTCCCAGAGGACTCATCTCCAAATACCATCACATTGGGGATTAGGGCTTTAATGTATGAATTTGAGGAGGGACACAATTGAGTCCATAGCAGTGCTATAGTAAATTTTCGATGACTTTCTTATATCTTAAGATTTTGGCCATTATTAATAACAGTTTGGAGACATGTCACAGAAGAGGAAATTTTTTTCCCTTAAGTTTTATGTCTGATTATAGTTTCCAGGTTTTTAAAAATAAAAACTCCAGATGTCATAGTAATAATTTCCAGACACCACAACCTCTCCTCACAGATTATGTTACATTGGCTTCAATAAAGATTTCTTGTCCTTCTCTATTTCACCTCCACCCTTCTAGGAGCCCTTTCATAGTCTCATTATTGTTACATCAGTTTTAATATGGACTTTTCTTTTTTGTAGGTGGAGACCACGTGGTTTTGCAAGGCCAGAGTTAATGAAGATCTTACATAATTCACTGGACGATTCCTTTAAACGCCTTATTTATCCTCTTCTCTGTAGAGAGTTCAGGTATGCATCTTGTCTTGTTTGATTTCGTGTACTGTTTATTATGTATGGTACGAGTCCTGTTATAACATGTAGTAAATATTTGTTGATAGATTAATCAATTCAAAGAATTTAGTCAGAATCACAGAGTTAAATTTAAGCTTTGATTTCAATCTGTCGATGCATTCATATGTATAGATCATAAAACATGGTTCTTAATTACAATATACTTTTCAAATCTTGATCACTTAATGCATACCCCTTCACATCCTACAGTACTAGTCTTACAATTTAACAACCAAGCCAAACAAAAGGTTTTATTGATTAGAGATTCTGCCTAAATATATGTAACCTTAACACATGTACCCCCATAATATGCTAAAATAAAAAATAAATAAATTAAAAAAAAAAAAAAAGAGATTCTGCCTAGAAGCAGCAACTGAGAAATTAATGGAGAAGTTAGTTGGAGGAGGTTTTTAGAGGTAAGAGAGCCAAAAAAGGCATAAAGAAATCAGTGGAGGACATGATAAATTTATTACTATAAAGAGAGAAAGCTAGTATGTTTTTAATTCCAAATAGGAATTGTTTGGATGAAAAATTATCAGCAATGATGCATATTAGCAGATTATTGAGGTGACCATGTAAATGGACTAGTTACTAGATGGACTAAGTAATAAAGATGAAAACTGCAAAAGAATGAGGTGCAGAATTGTTTTCAGGGGAGAAGATGGAAAGAAAAGGAATGTAGGAAGGCAAAACCTCTGTTTCTCACTTTTTTCTAGATGTCTTTGTATCCATTCTTTAGGAACTAGCCATTCCCTCATACATTCCTTTCTCTATTTATTATATTGATTCTCTCATTCTCATAGATTTCAGCAAGGGCTACCTTGGCAATGTAGATTTCTAGCCATTTCATCAACCTCACTAGAATTTCTAGCAATCTGTGTAATGTTTGTCTGTTTCTCTTTTGCTGTACTTGACCATCAAGTTCAGAGTTGTTCAGAGCAGGGAGCGAGTAGGTATTATTAAAAAAGACACATAGCTGCATTGTTTGATTTCTTTTTATTAAATTCATTCAATCTTTTATTTCATCCCTTTGAGCCTAGATGTGTGCTAAAAATATTGTTCCTTTTGGAATTCTACTTCATTTTAAATTTGTTTGAAGTAATGTTGCTTGCTTTTGAGTGTGAGGGCATGAACTTTAAAAATAAGGAATTCTGATCTTAATGAAGGAAAAAAAGTTATTTAAAATGGTAATTCATTTTTGTATTTCTTAAAAATTTCTTAAAAATTTTATTTTCTCATGTTGCATATAATATCCAGTGGTGCTTTTGACATTTTTGCATATATTTGATTCAAGTAGTTTCATTGCATGTATAATAATTTCATTAAGGTTTAATGTATAATCTTTTTCTGATTTCCATTAACACTGAGCAAGCAAGAGTATTTTCCTTCTCTCTTTCTAAAATGCCTATGGTTAAGAAAATAGAACTTATAGTTTCTAAGTTAGTTTGCAGATTTTGTCTACAGATATATCTCTTGATAGAAATGCTTACCTGAATAGCAAGAACTCCCAGTCGATTTTTTTAAAATAAAAATACTTTATTTCTCTAATTAAAAAGGAATTTTTTGTAATTGTAGAAAAATTGAAAAACTCAGTAAAGTACAAAGGAAAGAAAACATAATTTTACTGCCTGGAGATAACCATTGTTAACCACACTTTTCCCCTTTCATGTGTATATATTAAAAGAGATTGTATAGACTATATTATTTTGTAGGCATTTTATTATTTATTATACTTATAAATTTTTATTTATTTATTATACTATGTATAGCCTAATTTCTTATTCCTGTGACTGTCATGGTCATTCATCCATGTTTTTCACACCTATTTTATACCTATCTCATCAATCCTGCATTGTCAGTTACCAAGTGTTACCTATTTTGCCATATTTTATTATATCTTGAATTTTTCCTCTTCTTTATCTCCATGATCTTTTTTTTTTTCTTTTTCTTTTTTGAGACAGAATCTCACTCTGTTGTCCAGGCTAGAGTGCCATGCGTCAGCCTAGCTCACAGCAACCTCAAACTCCTGGGCTCAGGCGATCCTCCTGCCTCAGCCTCTCAAGTAGCTGGGACTATAGGCATTTGTCACCATGCCCGGCTAATTTTTTATGTATATATTCTAAGTTGTCCAGCTAATTTCTTTCAATTTTTTTAGTAGAGATGGGGTCTCACTCTTGCTCAGGCTGGTTTTGAACTTTTGAGCTCAAACGATCCTCCTGCCTCAGCTTTCCAGAGTGCTGGGATTACAGGTGTGAGCTACCATGCCCGGCCTCATGATTACTATCCTAATTCAGGACATCATTATTTTTTTGTTTGGATTACTGAACTAGGGTTATAGATGATCTTGGTTTTCTGTCTTGCCTTTCCAATACATATTCCACATTGCTATTTTAGAATTCTCATCTCATTATTTTGTGCTTAAAATCCTTTAGATGGTCTTTTTTGTCTCCTGGATAAAATCCATGCTCTTTAGAAGAACATACATGACCCTTTGCAATCTGTTTTTTCTTGCCTCTATGGGTTTATGTCTTGCTATTTCTTTTTACTTTAGCATATTAAATTATTTGCTTTTTTTGTAATGAGCCATTAACCTTTACATATGCTGCTTCCATTATCTGGGGTATCTTCTCCCTGCTTGCCATTTACTGTCCCTACCTTTGTTTGCATAGTGGTATTGCTTTTTCTTCTTGGTTTACCTGAGAAGACATCTCTTCTAGAAAGTTTTCCTAGTTTAGCTATCCCTCCTGTGAGTTCCCATTAGCATGACACTTATCATTGTTTTGGACTTGTCTGTTTATGTTTCTGTTTTTTCCACCAGATAGTATTCTTCAGGGGAGGCATCTTGTCTTTTCAGCTTTGTATCTCTCACACCAATCATTGTGTAAAAGACTAACAACAAATACTTGCCTAATAAAGTTAAAAGATTTAGAAGTACCTGTAATGTTACTTTTCATCTTGTTTCACTCAATGCAGGGAGAATGATAGTGAAATTTTAGAGAAGATAAGAGAAAAGCCTTATGAAAATGACTTGAGCCAGAGAAGCAAATAGTAGTTAGCTGTGTGCATCTTCATAATGTAGATCATTCTACATCAACACTGATAACAAAATGTGCTTTGAATAGCTTTTGTAATTTGAATTTTCTTGTGGCCAATGGCATGCATTTTTTTTTTTATCTCTTCTACCAGTAAAGACATACTTTTTATAAATTCTTATGAATTTCAGGAGATAATATATTGAGAACTTCTGTTGAGTAGATGAATAGTATAAAACTTGGTTTTTGAATGACTTTAAGCCCATTATAGACACAGGTTTTTATCCTAGAAAGTCTTAAAATTAGACTTTTAATAACTTCTCTGATAAAACTGGGAAGTTGTTTATATGAGGCATGGTTCTGGACTGGCTGTTAGTATCTGAGATCATGTCACATTACTGTGAGAATGACAAAGGCATAGATGTGAAGAATAGAGTGGGAAGATGACATAGAGATATTTATAGGTGAAGGTATAAAACTAAATATTGTTGTAGAGGACTACTTAAATTTGATGATTTGTCATTCTCATTTTCTGTTTCTGTTTTAATCAGTTGATAAACTTTAAGTTGACATCTCGTAGGACATCCAAATCTGTATACTCTTGTCTTTCTCACGCACACACAGATACACATGGGTTTTGTATATAATGAAGAGCAGATATGGAGTATGGGTATTACAAACTCATAAGGTTTGCTTCAGAATTGTTTATGATACCATGTATTATTACTGTGATTAGTGAAAATCAGTAATATGATTTTCATATGACTCAATATGATATTTCAATATAATGTTTTTTCCCTTAAGTTATTTTGCCATAATAAATGTTCCTGTGAGGAATAACTATACAAAACGAATTCTCCGTTTCTGGACAGAAAATTTTGGTGAATGAAAAACTAAGTACTTTTTCTTTTCTTTTATTTCTAAAGAGCTAAACTAACATCAGATGCAGAGAAAGAGTCAGTAATGATGTTTGGACGGAACCTTCGTCAGCTCCTTTTAACAAGCCCTGTTCCAGGACGCACCTTAATGGGAGTGGATCCTGGTTATAAACATGGTTGCAAATTAGCTATAATTTCTCCTACCAGTAAGTTGTCTTTCAGCTTTTCATGTAAGAGTTGTTTGGTTGGTCATAAGTTTCATTTCATACATTTCATGAGGATTTGGAAATAATGTTAATTTTCAAGGCTTAGAAAATGATTTTCTTAAAAACAGGAATATTGGGAACCAGAGAATCAAAATTCATATTTCTGTTATTTGTTGATCAAAACCTTGAACATACGACCATCATTTATATCCTTCCTTGTGTCATAATGGAGGATTAACTAGGCTCAGACTTGAACTCTATTAGCCTTATCAACTTCTATTTATTGTGATGCATTTATGTATGATGCATTTTAAATACAAAAAGACACTTTTATTGTTTTGTCTCATCAATATTTTTTCTTATTTACTCATATATTTACCTTATCCCTTATCTATTTACTGTTTTTCTTTCTGTTTTCGGCCTCTATGGGTTTATGTCTTGCTATTTCTTTTACTTTAGCATATTAAATTATTGCTTTTTTGTAATGGAGCCATTAACCTTTACATATGCTGCTTCCATTATTCTGGTGATTCTCCCTCTGGCATTTACTGGTCCTACCTTGTTTGCATAGTGGTATCTTTTTCTTCTTGGTTACCTGAGAAGACATCTCTTCTAGAAAGTTTCCTAGTTTAGCTATCCCTCCTGTGAGTTCCCATTAGCATGACACTTATCATTGTCTTTTTGTCTGTTTATGTTTCTGTTTTTCCACCAGATAGTATTCTTCAGGGGAGGCATCTTGTCTTTTCAGCTTTGTATCTCTCACACCAATCATTGTGTAAAAGACTAACAACAAATACTTGCCTAATAAAGTTAAAAGATTTAGAAGTACCTGTAATGTTACTTTTCATCTTGTTTCACTCAATGCAGGGAGAATGATAGTGAAATTTTTAGAGAAGAGAAAAGCCTTATGAAAATGAATTGAGCCAGAGAAGCAAATAGTAGTTAGCTGGTGCATCTTCATAATGTAGATCATTCTACATCAACACTGATAACAAAATGTGCTTTGAATAGCTTTGTAATTTGAATTTTCTTGTGGCAATGGCACATTTTTTTTTTATCTCTTCTACCAGTAAAGACATACTTTTTATAAATTCTTATGAATTTCAGGAGATAATATATGAGAACTTCTGTTGAGTAGATGAATAGTATAAAACTTGGTTTTTGAATGACTTTAAGCCCATTATAGACACAGGTTTTATCCTAGAAAGTCTTAAAATTAGACTTTTAATAACTTCTCTGATAAAACTGGGAAGTTGTTTATATGAGGCATGGTTCTGGACTGGCTGTTAGTATCTGAGATCATGTCTCATTACTGTGAGAATGACAAAGGCATAGATGTGAAGAATAGAGTGGGAAGATGACATAGAGATATTTATAGGTGAAGTTGTAAAACTAAATATTGTTGTAGAGACTACTTAAATTTGATGATTTGTCATTCTCATTTTCTGTTTCTGTTTTAATCAGTTGATAAACTTTAAGTTGACATCTCGTAGGACATCCAATCTGTATACTCTTGTCTTTCTCACGCACACACAGATACACATGGGTTTTGTATATAATGAAGAGCAGATACGGAGTATGGGTATTACAAACTCATAAGGTTTGCTTCAGAATTGTTTATGATACCATGTATTATTACTGTGATTAGTGAAAATCAGTAATATGATTTTCATATGACTCAATATGATATTTCAATATAATGTTTTTCCCTTAAGTTATTTTGCCATAATAAATGTTCCTGTGAGGAATAACTATACAAAACGAATTCTCCGTTTCTGGACAGAAAATTTTGGTGAATGAAAACTAAGTACTTTTTCTTTTCTTTTATTCTAAAGAGCTAAACTAACATCAGATGCAGAGAAAGAGTCAGTAATGATGTTTGGACGGAACTTCGTCAGCTCTCTTTTAACAGACCTGTTCCAGGACGCACCTTAATGGGAGTGGATCCTGGTTATAAACATGGTTGCAAATTAGCTATAATTTTCTCTACCAGTAAGTTGTCTTTCAGCTTTTCATGTAAGAGTTGTTTGGTTGGTCATAAGTTTCATTTCAATA